GGGAGACGCTTACTCTCAGGTGGCGACACACTCGACGGGACCCGGCCATATTTTCAAATTTCAAGAGGCCGAAATCCTCGCAAGGGGTGACAACCGCGTGAGCCGCGAGCTGCTCGAGTCATGGTTCTCAGGCCCGCAATTCATCAACAAACACAATGACCTCCCGGTGCCCTATCCCGTATTGCGATTTTCCCTGGGCAGGAGAATCAGTCACGTGGGGAGGGCGCGGCTGAGCAATTATCACGGTGACAGTGATATCATATCTACTGCAAACCCATAAAGGTGCAAAATTACGACCGATCGCAAAGGGTGAAGACCAATTTGTGCCGATGTTTGATGTTTTAAGCGGCCCCAAGCTCGTGCATTACAAAGATCGTGCCAACACTGGCTCAAAAGCGTTGTCCCACTAAACATGTTTCCCAATTTGCTTACAGAAAATAGCGCGCGAATACGTCACTGGGCAGAGACTTTGAATTCCTCTAAAAATTGGACGAATATTCCCGCTGAAATTTTAAGAAGTCCCAGCGCGCGGGCGCTCTTTCCTTACGATCAATAAACAGATAAAAAACACCTTAAACTATAATGCCTCGTAAGTAGTAAAACGCAGGTCGACTATTGTTGGTAGTCTCCCATGTAATTTTATTAGTATCGAGTTTTTCCCAAAAAACTGATCGAGGCCAAGGATTTGATATTTTATAGTTAGCAAAACTAAACAACGCACTTATACTTAATGTCGCAAGCCAAAACCATTGCTGAGTAGTTGCATATACGTTAAACGGCATTTTTGTCGGCTGCACTAGAGCAGTATATTATTTTACATAAATTCGGTGTGACTTGCTTTAGTAGCCCCATGTGATGAGCAAAATACTGCTAGGGTCAACTTAAAAGGGTTTACGGTTAAGGAATAAGGCATGGAGTTGTCTGTTTGGCTTATGGGGTTTTAGTGATGGGTTGGGGTTGTGGGTAAACGTAACCATTTCTCAACCACTCTCAATAGATTTTCTTTTGCATACAACTACTTGTCGTCGTAAGGTATACAGGGTATTGCTTCAAGATTAAACGCTTTCCTACTATTTGGCCGTTGCGTGACAGCGCTGCGGGGTCCATCCGTGGGTTACCCAGTTTTTCCAACGCGGTATTTTGCATACAAACTCCAGATAATAATGAAATTCTTGAATCCCGTAGCATAATTAATTCTTTAAAAATTGACATTGCTAAAAAACCTATTTTCAATTGAATAAATAGGTATCTGACACCAGTGTTCTCATGCATTAAATGATGCAGCCAAATTTGTGTTTCTTATATTGATCGACTTCTTTTATCGTCATTTCGGTTCTTTTTGGTTTATTGTAAAAAATGAGCAAATTATATATCTTACAGTCAATCAAATGCCTAGTGAAAATGGACCGAAAATTTTCATTTTGTCGCTTAAAGATACCCATTTTGTTCGTGACCACCGCAAGCATAGAAAGGGGCAAACAATACATCCGCTCGCAACAGAGGCGGACTGCTTTTTGCTGATGTTTTTACTGTTGAGCAGCCCCAAGCTCGTGCATTACGACGATCGCGCCATCACTGGTTCAAAAGTGTTGTCCCACCCAACATGTTTCCCAATCTGTTTAAGGAACATAGCGCGCGAATCCGTCACCGGAAAAAGTGAATTATAATGACTGGTTTGAAATCACTTCAAAACTGGACATAAATTCCCGATGAAATTCCAGAAAGTCCCATCGCTCGGGTATTGGTTCCGAGGTATTCGTAAACAGATTAACAAACACCTAAACATATATTTCGTGTTAAGCTGTAAAACGCGACACGTCTTGTTTTGGTAGTCCTCCATGTAATTGGTTTTTTGTTGAAGGTTTGGTAGCCCCCTGTTGGACATAATAATGTTGAGGGTTGAGGTAATGGGTTGGGGTAAGGATAAGGAGTTAGGGGCTAGTGTTGGGGGAAAAGGCGACTATTTCTTGACCATAGAAATGCAACCGCGCATTCCCCAGAGCTTTTCTTATGCTGTGCTGTTCCGTAATAAAGTGAACTTGGGTTTGAGTAATTTAGGTGGGGATACATAATCACATGCAAATTTAGAATTTACCAGAACCTACGTAAAAGCCTAAAGAGCAACTGCCAATTCGCTGGTTTTGTAGGCAGTATATTTTAATTTTGGGAAATGTAATAACTAGGCACGTTGATTTTAGTAGTAATCAGATGTTGTTTTCACTGCCGACACTATACTGCATTTGTACAAGTTCAGATAAATTTTTGAACACCATACGGATGAGGAGGTTCCCCTGCGGTTGTTTTCCTCACGGCATGCGGAGACATAGTTTGTTTGTTTTGGTTCTTTTAAATTGATGATTCAAAAACAATATATTTTTGATTTCATGAGGCCAACGAAAATCCACGTCAGATATTCACAAGTAATAAATTATTATCATTTTGGCGCGCAGTATTTCAAACTGCCGGAACCCCAAAATGACTGAAAAAACCACAACCCAAACATTAATTAGAAGTATGGTTTGGCCATTCATTATTTGGCACATCTGCCGAAAAGAATTTACGGCAACCGCGTCCTGCAAATAGGCTCTAGACGTACCGGCTGAATGACCAATGTCGGTCATTATCCTGTTTTTATGCCAGAGAATAATTTGAGGCATGACACGCTGGATGAATTGATTGAGTCGCTTTGCCTCCTTTGACACTGCGACCATAAAACCTTTATTTTGCATAGTCCCTGACCTAGACGACACATCAGTCTAGTTTGGATCGTTTATTTGTGGTAGAATTCTCCTTTGGACTATATACTTAAGAAAGACCGTCAAACACACTAAAATTTAGTGATATGAGCAATTTAAGTTAAGAAACGTGGAATCAGGCTACGAGGATTGTTGTATTAAACATTACCTTCCAGTAGCGTTTAAAAATACTGAAAATGTAACACATACACTTAAAACACTTCATTTATCCTGTTCCATACAGATTAAGGTCGAATTGGTGGTTATTGCAATTGGTATCTCAGACATAATCTTACAGGTGTGCCCTTCACAAGACAATTTGGCGAGTATACGCGTTCTCCCAATAAAATCTTGTCTAGTTAGTATATTTTTATGGAGAAGAGGTACACACTGAGATGTGCAACTGATAAAAGTAATTGATTTCTGTTCGTCTTTGCTAACAGGTGGGGTGTGTAAGTACGGATGGAGTAGGCAGTAAAGGGCAGCGGCTGACGCGGAGTGATGCATGCGGTTAATCATTCTCTGGCCACAGGCGACACGAAGCTTGAATGAGGTTCTCCTGTGAGCACAAGACCGACCACTGTTGACTGATGGCAGTCGCTTTGGCTGTTGCCAGTAAACGCTGACCCATTTGCTCACGCTGGTAGGGTAGGACCTCATAGGCCAAACCGGAAGCTTTTTGCATGCACACGGTGCCGAGATTCGACCATGTTTGCGAGAGCAGAGCTGTATTTACTCTTTCTCAGCCAAACTGACAGGTGTTCTCGTATTCCTATAAAAGGCGTCTTCTTCTGCAATCCATATAATCCGCTCCACAGTAGCAAGAAATGAGCGAATGCATATGGTGCTGGTCTGAGTTGGTAGCCTACTCTTATTTTCCACGCGTAAGTCGGGGTTAATCCAGGACAATGTATGAATAATGGCTGTCGAGATGTTCCCGTAATCGGCCTAATGATGCCGTCTTCTCTGCAGCTCTTTCGTCGGGTCCAAATGAAATGGGAGATTGGGGGGCTGTGCGTATGTTTTATCGATGTCGACGTATATGTAGATGTCTACAGTTTTAGCTTTCGCATCTTAAAACCGAATGCTCTGCCGCTGTCGCTTTCCTGTTGACACTACCTACTACATATACGGCGGATTATGATTGTCCTTCTGCTTTTAAACAAGTTTATATTTTACCTGCAAGAGGTTGGAGGTTTCATGTATATGCCATTGTTATTTCGTTTTAATGTTAGGAGAATCTTTCATGAAACGTCTTACAATTGCAATGAATTCTCGAAGCGCTTATCATTAACTCGCGGACAACCACCGCCACCCTCGGGGAGGCGTCGCCAGCTCGGAAGCTGAGAACGAACCACCGAACGAGAATGAGGCGCAGCTCCCCGGAACCGCTGAAGACCAGGGCGCAGATTCAGACACCCCGATTATTGAACTCTATAAGCGCGCAGACTAGGCAAGTAGGAAGTGGTTAGCTCGGTTCGGTTCATTTTATTCTAGCGAATTTTAGGTGTTGCACCTTTGAACTCCCTGTTTGTTACAAGCAGCAGATCTATGTGAGAACGTTGCAAACGGAAACAAAAACAGCTGCGGATGATCGAAAATGCACAGATAAATGAATTATTATGTGATACGAACATAGATACTACTAAGAACATTATACAGCAGCCAATTTATGCGCAAATATGCTTGGGAAAGTTCGCTCTCACTTGTCTGCAGACGCTATTGAATTTCGACATGCGAGTCGATATATTTAAACTCAAAACGCTACTGAAATATGGTCAGTAACGTTATAACGTCCATCAGCTGTCTGGAACTCCGAGAGAAGAGATCGAGATGGAGTAATCGTGTTTCGTAGGGTAATGTGCCCTATCCACTACACGTTTTTTGCACGCCTTTGAGCTTTTTGAGGATGCTAATGCCATTAGGGATGCAGGGTATTTGTGCTTGAAATGTCCTATTCCCATTGTGGCCGTCCGTCGGTGCATCCGTCGGTGGTTGACGGGTTGACCGTTCGTCCTGTAGGCGATGCGGATTCCGGGGCGTTCGTCACGGTGGACGTCCATCAGCGGGGCAGTGAACATGAGACCGAAGAGGGTAGGCGCGAGGACGCAGCCCTGCTTTACTCCGTCGGTGCCTGTGACTCGCACTATCATGCCATCGTGGAGCTGACACACCCTCTGGATGAATTGCTCGGGAAAGCCGAATTTCTGCTTAATTTTCCACTGTCCCTCGGTGGGTCCGCATCGCCTGACACTTCTCTTACAGATGACGAGCGGAGATTATGTCCGTGGTGCTACGATGACGACGAATGCCGCACTGGCTTTCCAGCAGGAGACCTTGTTCCAGATGGTGGCCCAGACATTTGAGGAGAATGCGAGTGAAGATTTTCTCGGCGATGTTCAGCAGGGAGATGTCGGAATAGTTGGCACAGAGCTGGCGGTTGTCTTTTCGTTTATAGACATGGAAAACTGTGGCGGCCTTGAAGTCCTGCGGCACTTCTCATTGACGGTTCTCCTCGGCGAGCGGGTTGCTGATGGCGGTGTCGTTGTTATTGAACCAGTCCTTGTGTTGGTGTCCTGCGTGACCGAAGACAGCCAGGGTCGTCGACTGAACTGTGTCCCTCAATGTACGTCATCAGCTCTCCGCGGGGGCGTTCTCGTCGTGGTCGTCGTCGGCGGCGGCGGCAAGGGAGGCTGGCTAGCCGGTAGCCAACTCACTGCCGAACTGGAGATGATTGGCAGGCTGAGACAACAAATCAACATTCAACTTACCCCGAGGGCCGTATACCTTGAGGTCTCCTGCGAGGCTAAGTCACTCACAATCCACAGTTCGCGCCTTCGTCATGATGGAGTACATACAGCGGTCATCGTCGGCAACGACGGTCGTATGTGTGGGTGGGTGGGTAAGTGTGCTGTTGGGTAGGTTGCCCGTAAAAGGCGCCTACTGGACCACCAGGTAACTAGTTAAATAGAACTAAGCCTGAACATGGGCCAGTAATGCTGACATGGCATTTCTGTGCATTTTTTCTCTAATCTCGGGGGCGCCAAGGTTGATCATGCGTGTTTTTGCAGTGTCACTACGCCCAGTCGGTGTTTTGGCAACTGAAGGCGGCAATCATTGAAGCCAGAGTCTTAAAATGACGCCACTATTTTCCCGATTTTGATGACGTCCACATCTTGATTTTGTCTACATCAAACGTAACCTTTTAAGTGATAGTTGTGGATAATACAGAATCCTGATTTTGGGCCGTCAGTCTTTGCTGAGTCTTCCATATCTCTATTTATGTATATATACATAATTTCTGAATCTACCCAGGCTGACCGGCCATTTTGGCAGGATCCCCTTCCTTCTCAGGGATGATGTGTCGACAAGCGGTCAGATGACTGATATTTGAGGTGGCGGATGGGAGTGGGACGGCGTCGGTCAAATTAATCTCCGAATTCTGGAATTTTTTCAAATGTCCGTCTGTTGTCTGCTTAAGCACACAAGTTTGTCAGTAAAAATTGCCCTTTAATCCAACATTAAGCGACGTTTTATGTGCGGAGGTTACTACCGACATCACCTTTAAATGCGTGTTCTACCCCGGCCTGCCCACAGCAAAGTAAGCAGTCACTCTGGCCTGACGAATAATTTCATCGGAGATCATATAGGAGCTGTGAATGAGGCACCTGAAGCATTCCCGCGTCTGAGACTCGTTCCTCAGTAGACTCCTTCTAACGGAGCTGAACACCGCCGAATCTGCAATGGATTGAATATAGATTCGGATAAGTTCTTCCTTTCATCGCAGATCTGCGTGTCCACGGATTTTCGCCGTCCTAACTGCCACCTGGTTGCAGGTTATGTCGATTTTGGAGGTCTTTAGCTTCCATAGGCTGTGGGGCTATTTATGTTGATCCCACAGACGTGATTTTTCACAGATATCGACTGCCGCATTTCTTGTGCTACATAATAATTCCCGCGCAAAACAACGTCCCTGCTCGCGGTGGACTTTGTCGAAAAAATGGTCGAACGGTCGTGCGTGTTTCGCGAAGGCAGATGCGCGTTCCTTCTGTTGCATGGGGGCTTACGAAATAACGCTACCACGCGAGTGCAAGCTTCACGCACCACCTAAAAATGATTTGGAAAATCAAAGTGCGTTATTTTCACAGTTCCAAACCTGTGCCAATTGACAGTAGGAATCTCCACTCATGACCAAGCTTGACCTACAGTGATTTAGGTGTTCACACATTGACCTCCAGAAAGTCTTTGCTTAGAGGATAACAATCACATCGTAACCAAGCACTGAACACTGTCTGATTTCATTTAGTCAATTTTGTCGGCTACGTTAGGTGGATACACGCACGTGCGACCCGATGGATAATGGTGATAGAGAGTAAACCAAAGTTTATACGTTAGCGTGAGAGCATTTTTGCTCTACATTTAAGTAATTTTCACACGACTGCTACTTCGACTGGCAAGTCGACGTCATTGAAGGGTGGCTAGTTAGTTAGATTAAGGTTTATTTACATAAATTCTCTTCGGGCAGGTAAACTTATGTGAGAACATGATATAAGTAAGGTATGCGAGGAATTAAAAAATGTAATTAAACGTTAGCCTCTTTGCATAATTATTTTTGTGGATGGGAGCTAACGTGAGACGGTAAAGGGCAGAAATAACGGTGTCAGAAGGGAGTTGCACGGCGCAGAGAAGCGAATGCTGCCGATCACCTTTCGGCCATGGTAAACGCGGAGCCTGCACTAGTATCGTGCGTGGGCGCGAACGGACATACGTAACATGGCAGTAGTTGTGTCAACGGTTTCCAGTGGACGCTGACCCAATGGCTATACAATTGACACGGGAGGCCTCGTTCAGCCCACATCGTGCGCGAATAGAACGGTGCGTGCGAGGATGGCGTTAATTTTGCTCCTAATACTGCTTTTATAGACTCCTTCCGGGGGATGTTTCCTATTCTTTTGCTTAGGCGTCGACGCGTGCGATCTAGGTTGAGCAAACGAGTAAATGCACACGGACAAGATTTGAGCTGGCAACCTTTCTTTACCTTCTCTTTGTAAAACGATGTTAATTTAGAATAGTACCTGAAGTCAAAAATAGTTCGCAAAACAGGTTGATTCGTTTTGTTTTGGAAACCATTATTCCGGTATATCAATCAAGTCATGGCCACAATCTAACACCAAAATTAAAACGTAAAATTGCACACTAGATTTTGACTTCAAGAAGGCCCAATGTGCGGAGCCTGTAAATGCCAATCCCACAAATACTTCCGAAACAGATTTCTACCCTAGTGTTGGCACACAATTATCTCTTGATAGGAAATAAATTTAAAAACAGTTATCCTTCAAACGGAGTTAACAATTATCGAACCTGCAATGGACTGAAGATAGATTCAGAGAAGTTCTTCCTTTCATCGCAGATCTGCGTGTCCACAGATTTTTCTGTCATCTGGTTGCAGGCAATGACGGTGATGGAGGTCTGTAGCCTGCAAAGGCTGTGTGACTATTCATTTTGATCCCACAGGTGTAATTTTTACAGATGCCGACTGCCGCAGTTCGAGTGAGGTAGATGCAGAGCAAGTCTACTCTCATTACAGGCTACTTTACGCGCTAATCGACGTCCCAGATAAAGGTGGACGTCGTTTTCGACGTGTTTCAAGACAGCAAATGTGCGTTCCGCCTGCTGCATTAGCGTTTGCGAAAAAAACGTTACCACGTGAGTGCAAGCTCAGCGTACCACCTGAAAATAATTTGGCAAATCAAAGTGATTTATTTCCGCAGTTCCAAACCTGTGCCAAGTGACAGACGGAATCTCTATTCATGGGTTGGCTTATCTTGCAGTGATACCGGTCGTTACACATTGCCCTCTGGAAGACGCACCAACATTGAGGGTGCGATGGCAGACCCAGTTGCAAGCCCATGCAGCACCAACTGTCATCCCCTACTTGTCGCTGAAAATCCTGTTCGTATTGTTTGTTGTAGATCAGGAAGCGTGGTGGTACGCATAGGTGCTTGTTTTCGTCGTGCTAGAGGCCTGCGCACGCTCCTACCTTCGGTCTTCATGACACACATGGGACCACATGGGAAAGCAGATAAGCGTTCCATTTGCGAGCTTTGATCTACAATGATCTCAGCCTGTAAAAACGGACTTCCGAGAGCTCTTTGCTTGGAAGTTTACAATTGTGCGACTTTTTAATACCGTGAAATGGCCGTTCATAAAACGTCATGTCTCTGCATTTATCAATGTGATTTATAAATTTAACAATATGGCCAATTTCACTGCCACGTTTTGTGAACCCCATATAATTGCCTCTTAATACCGTATAGCGATGTATAGTTTTCCGCACGGCTTGTAGCTTGGAAACCCTGAATGCAAGTGTAGCGGCAGGTTGAGTTCAAAATTATTCAGAAATTGGAAATGTTTTCGAAGACCGAATTATGCCCTTTCTTTGAGTATAACATTGGAAGTGTCGTAATTTTCTACCGAATGAGGATGACAATGAATTTATTTATTTGTGGTTTCTGTGAAATATATTTGAATCTTTGAGGTCATCGAAAATCACAAAAATTCATGGTACGTAAGTAGTCATTTTTAAAGAGCATGGTTTTTTTTCATGCAACCTTAAAAAGTTCGTTTGAAAGCGGACATCCACAGGTCACTAAATTAATTCAGAATTATGCTGCATGACGATCAGTTATACAATCCCACTTAACTAATGTTTTCGAAATGGAAACGCGTTTTGGAAGTTCAGTTGACAGTTCATGAGTTAGTCCATCTTGTCTACTTTAGCGTGGTGGCCTTTGTGGGCTGATTTCTAGTAGTTTTCCCACGAATGCTTCCTTAACTAGCAAGTCCTGTGCCACTGGGTGGTGGCAATTACTTTTTGGAAAACTAGTTTTCTATCCATGAATTTGCTTCGGGGCGGCATATTTATGCTACAAAATGGTTTAATTAAGACCCGTGTTCGTGTTTCAGCACAATTATTTTTTGCGTGTGCGGTGTAATAAGCGACAGTGAGTGGTAGAATGTGTCGTGTCAGGAGGGCGCGGTGAAGTGAATAATGATAATTGACCTTCGGCCACGGCCGAAGGGGGGCAGGGGGACTTGCATAAATTTCGTGCATGCATACAAGACTGGGCTACGCATCCCAGCGACAGTAGGCCCCGCGATTGCTAGTGGACGCTGGTCAAATGGCTTAGGTTTAGGCAATAAGACCTAGAGTCTTGAGTGGTTCGCAAAACAGTCCGGCTTGCTTAGATGTCGAAACTATTATTCCGATCCATCGGGTACATTAAAGCTACAGTAGGTAGACTTACTCATGAAATGTCTACCGAAATTCCGAAATGCGTTTTCATTCCGAAAAGATTAATTAAGTAGCGTTGTAAAACAGATCATCATGCAGCGTCATTCTATAGTAATTTGGTACCTCAGAATGTCGGTCATCAAAGTAACTTCTTCTCGGGTGCATGCGAAAACTATACTCTTTAAAAAATGACTACTTATTTAGAATGCGTTTTTCTCACTGATTTTCGATGCCATTAAAAATTCAATAATGTTTCATAGAAAGCATGCAGAAATTTTTTTATTATTTTGCTCATTCGGTAAGACATTACGTCTGCGTTCAACCTTATATTCGCAAAAAGTGTATAATTTCGCTTTCAAAAACTTTTCCGATTCCCGAATAATTTTGAACCCGATCTACCGTTACGATTGGAATCAAGATTTCCAAACTACAAGCCGTACATTTGCCGCTTACGGAAAATCATGCACTTATCTGCCATATTAAGAGGAGACCATAAGGGGTCCATAAAATGTAGCAATGGATTTGAACAATATGGCTAACTTTGGAAGCCAGATTCGTAAATGCAGATATATGGCGTTTTATGAACGGCTATTTCACGGTATTAAAAAATCCCGCAAATAGAAACTTTTTAAAACCGAATTATACTCATCCATCGAGTAAAGCGTTGAATGAAGGCGTAATTTCCTTCCGAATAAGTAGAGGAATGAATATTTTTATGCATGGGTGGAAGCTACTACGCAAATCCCAGGTTCTTGTTGTACAGAAGATGAACACAGTCGCTGCTTCCGCACGCGCCCACGGCGAACAAACGGAGGAGAGCCGCCAACACTCTGGCACCCTCTACCATATATAAAGAACCTGTCCGAAGCGATAGAACGCATCGCTGGAGAGCTCGGCGTGAATAACGCTCACCGTCCGACAGCGACCATGAGCAGCAAAATCATGCGAGTGAAGGATTGCCTAGACGTGGAAGAACAATCGGTATTACCTATCAGATCCCATGTCGGGACTGCCCTCGCCACTACACAGGACAGACCGGACGACGACTTAGCTCACAAATAACGGAGCACAAACGGGCGGATCGGAGAGGCAGCCCCTTGTTTCAGATCGCCACCCACACCCTGGAGGAAGGCCATAAATTCAACTTCGCGAGCACGCGGATAGTAGAGCAGGCCAGCAATAAGACAGAGCGAGAACTGTTAGGGGCCTGGGTATCTGACACCAACTCTATCAACAGACACGTTGACATACCCCCCCTGCTATCACACGCTCCGTTCCCGCGGCCAAGAGGCGAGACCCGATTTCCAGCGAAGGGTGCACGCAGTCACGCCACCGTGAGACGGCGTTGGACTCAACTTATCGCGAATACCACCCTCTGCACTCATATCTCTTCCACCCTTCATGACGAGCAGAGGTTTTCTTTCCATAAATTCGTTTCGGTAGTTGCTGTTGTCTCTGATGATGGGTTCGAGCAGGAATCTGAAAAGTCAGGTTAAGAAAGATCTTGTCTCAGCGATCGTGTCTCCTTCTTTAAGACTACTTCCTGGGACTCCTCTCTTCGCTTCTATTCGTAATGTTCATCTTTCAGCACAATTGTTTTTGCGGATGCGGTGAAATAAGAGGCAGTGAGGGGTAGAATGTGTTGTGCCGGAAGTGAATGAAGTTAGTCGACCTTCGGCCACGACTGGGGTGGGGGAAGGTCTTGCACAGAACGGTGCTACGAAACCCATCGCAGTAGGTTCAGCGGTTGCTACTTATGTAACCAATCTTTACAGAGTGTAGTTTCTCGGCGCCCGGTAAGACCTTCGTTCAAAGGCCGGCATCCTGAAGTAACTGTACAATTACGGAATTATGCTGCTTGGTGATTAATATAACAGCCTTACATAAGTAATCTTTCCAAGTCGGTTAACTCTATACTACTGACTGTCAAGAGCAGGTGTGAAGGACATCTACGGAAGTTTTAAAACAAATTGTCATTTGCTCAAGCATAGAAATTCCTACGATTGAACGGAAAACTTGCTAGTGAATACGATGTGACAAAAAACGCCAAATGTTGTGTGCGCGGCTAACTTAAGTTTATTCTAGGACCCAGCAAGCGTTGCGCACAAACATCCACACCGCCGAAGACAGCAATATTACTGAATTTAATCAACCTATTGAAAAATGCATACGCGGTTTACACCGAACCCAAGCAGAATAAAGGGAGCTGTTGCCGCAATACACTGCTTCACGTCCAAATGTCAACTATGAGAAGCTCTTTTCGGCTCGCGACGCACAGACTGGAGTTAAAATCAGATGCTAAACGTGTGACGGCTGTTTACTTTCCCAAGTTTTCTCAATCAACCTGCTTTCCCCGACTAGAGGTATGAATGTGCGCTGAACAAAAAAAAACAGGCACGTTTCTAACCCTCAGACAAGTGCGGTTTTTTTCGCGGAATCTCGTTCCGTTGGAGCCCGTATCTCTGATTCCCCTTCAAGAAATTGTCGGGCCTTTTTTATTTAAGGAGGGAAACCCCAGAGATGCAATTAGGCAGAAATTAACCCCAAGGATTTGACGATTTTGCGACTTTTGTTTTTGTCAAGTGTTTGGCAGCCAGTCTCAGCAACGCCTGCGTGTTCATATTGAGCGCATGCGGGGTGAGAAACAGGCGTGTTAATCGAAAACAGTATCACATGGGTTCGATCACAACGCGTCAGGCAAACAGCATGCAGTCTTTGTAGGCAGCCGAAGGGCGGTTCATCCAAAAGCCTATATCCTAAAGTTACTGAATTATTGTAGGGTTATGCTGCAAGGTGACTACTTTTACAACCCTACTCAAGCAATCTTTTCGAGTCGAAAAAGCCTCAGAGGATTTCGGTTAACATTTCGTGAGTCAACCAATCAACTTAGTATTGGGGTCATAGGATGTCACCATGGCGGCACACGTACTACTACGGTGTCTTATGACCCCAGTATATACTACTGACCGCCTGTTGGAAGGTTAATACATAGTACGTGGTTATGTTGTTGCGGCTAATGAGCCTCGGCCCAGATATTCATATAAAATGTCGGTTTGAGCCTACAGACCTAAGTTTAAACTGATTCAATTCAACTTGCCGTCAAATTGGTGGGGGGGGGGGAATTAGACAGCAACAGTTTATAACTTAAAAAGGAGCAATCACCTTTCTACCAATCCAACAAAAGTCCCTGCGATTGGTATAGAAAGCCCTACGCACTTGGAGGCCATTTTTGTCTTTTCGTCATTTATAACCTAAGAATACTGCAAATTTTAGTTGAGCGCACATAACAGCCATTGCCCGACGGGTCTATGTTATCGAAAACAAGCTGCTTTAAAGTAAAAATCTGCTCTATATAAGCTGACGAGGACTGTTGCCAAGATAAGTTCACGGTTTTCGCACGAGGTAGACAACCATGCGGTATCCATTAAGTGCTGTGGTCCCCTGCGTGCTGCTTAGTGTCGCCTGCTGTGGTCTGTCGATTTTCATTATTTTGACTAAAATTCCACCGTATTTTTCCTTTTTGTATTTTTTTAATTAACATCCATTTTATATGGGCCATTATGTAGTAAGATTACCCTTAATCTTAAAAAATTCAAAGTATTCTGCATTTCCTTCCTCGCCCATTATAGTTGACCCATCAACCTGTAATACTTGAAAGGACTAGACAATCACTGACTAATAGCTTTAGCTAAGTCGGTAGTTGATGGCAAATGCCTGTTTAAGTGTTTTTCTTCCGGACTTTTGAACCACTAAAATGCACTAAAATGTGGTAACAAAAACGGCAGGAAATGTCGTTTGCTTCAAATCAGATCAGTCTGTTATAACATATGCGTGGGAAATTTTAGATTTAAGCTACTAGAGAAGTAGGCTTCGGGAACAAATTAACCAAGTGGTTAGTTTTTAAACGAAAACTCCATCGGCTAAAGCTGGGTTTTCGGACAAAATTTGTGACTGTCTGGCTAGTGGCCACGTGCTGCGTTTGATGCCATTTTCAAGGTAGACTGACAACTTGTGCTTCCAACGCAAAATTAAATTCAGTAGACTATGACATCTCACATGTGTTTTGTATGCAAACAAGGAAATATTTTATCCTATCTAATACTTACACCCTTCAGTATCCAATTAACGGAGTTGGAATATTACAGTAATTCAGCACATTCTTCAGTTTTTTAACAACTCGAGGGGTCATAGTGCAAATGCATCCCCAAACACTGAGATGTAAAAGTTGAGCTGAAGGGCAACCAAGCATTAGGATCTGGTGATGCATACACAGTAAGAGGCCTAATGCTACTAGCCGTGGCATAACTGCCCGCTGGCAGATCGCGTGCAAATTCGCCGGTCCCAAAAAGTTCTCCGACGTCCTCAGTTTCTCACTAGCCGTTTGGTGCCCTTTTTGCATTAGCATAGTTTCGTAATTGCGGATAATGACTGGATAAAGACTGCACTTTGTAATTGCTAAAATGTATGAGTATATTTAATGTGGAAATGAATTTGACGCAAGATAGTATCGCTTCTGCTTAGAGCAGTTTATTACAGCATACAGTAAAAAATTATAATGTTGGGTCTAAGGGAAGGCTTTGGAAAGAAGCTGATTAAATGGTTGGTTGTAAGACGAAAAATTGAACGGCCAAAAATAGGTGCCAATACAGTATATTCTCATTCTCCGACTGCTTACCACACACTACCTTTCACGTCGATTTCAAAATGGAGGAAGCTTGTCCAAAGGCTGCCAGCCAATGTCTGTAACGCGACATTGAATGCAGTGGAATATGTCATATCACATATATTATATATTCAGACAAGAAGAACCCCTATTTTATTTGATATTGAGACATCGGAAGATTCAAACCGGGCGTCGAATACCTAATTAGCAAGGATGGAATACTTTACTCAGCAAATTTCTGCTTTTAACAACTCGATATATCAAAATGCGAATGATTCAGCATCGCGCATCATGATCCGCCAGAAAATCACACGTAAATTCGCTAGTCCCAATAATACCGCTTTGACATGCTCAGTTTCATATTAGGCAGTTTAATACCCTTTTGTATTGGTATAGTCCCATGATTGTTGATAATGACTGCACTGTCTCGTAAGTGCACATTTACGGTGAAATATCATCTTCCTCTCGTCTTAAAGCTATCCAAATTGAACCCGGCTTTCCGGTTGCCTGTGGGGTCCCAGCTATCCAACGAGTACACGACCTGGCCGCCAGACGCAGTAAAATCCGCGCAACACCCCACAGTTGGCCTTGGCACGTAAGTAGGTTGCATAATGCAAAAATTAAAAAAAACCAAGAATAATGTCGGATAGTAGTGAGCTTTACTAGTGCAATACCTGTTAAGTAATGTCTGTTTTTTTCATAGCCAGTCATGAATACTGGCAAAGCCGTTATTGTCCATCGATCTGTCTCAAGTCCCCATTGGCTGCATCCCGATTTTCAAGGGTCACTGAGTAAATGTGGACTGCCGGTTTGATTGGCTGGTTGAAAGTACGGTAAAACTAAAAACCAGCCAGCGCATATTGCGTCCTGACTACTTGAAATTCTACAAGATGGATTAAAACAGTATTTGATGACCAAAGGTGTGCGCAAAGTATGAACATAAGTTACACAAGTTCGACACCACTAGAAGCGCTTAAGCGAGTAAATTTAATTATCAAGCAGCAAATCATCGGTTCACGGGCAGAGAATATATAGTTACAAATCCAAATAAGCATTTGAAGTAATTGATTATCTTGAAATCCACCATCAAACGGTATGATCAGTTACCTACCAGTGTATATTTGTAAAAATATGAGTGCTAAAACTTTTTAACACCCAAAAGCTGAGGTATTATGGACAGCATGTGAACGTATGGTCAGGATGGTTGTGATTGCTGACAGAAGCAAATGGGCGAGTTCCAGGAAGCAGGAACAAGCAATTTACTGGTCTAACGTTCCGGATTCTCAAGGAACAAGGAGTGTACGTGGCTGCCATGGCATCATATGCGCATTGCAATCAAAAGTTCTCGCAATTACCGCTGGCGCCGTAATTGATGCGTCGTTACCTGTCGCGATTTCGTCATCCGTGTTGGATGCTGGTGTGACGATTGTTCGGCAAACTGGCTCACTGTCACGGAGACTATTGCTCGCGCGCGCACTTTCCACGTGACCGATTCCCCTGCCCAAGGAAAATGTCAGCATGGATTGCGGTACGGGAGGTCGTTGTGCTTACTGATGGATTGTGAGAGTACGCATATGGTCCCATAGCAGCCACGTGTTATAAAAACTGCACTCCTTGTGTCACCACTACCTTTATCTGCGACTGTCTATGATGATGAGTTCGAGTGAGAATCCGAAACGTCAGACCAATAAATTTCGTCTTTCAGTGATTGCATCTTCATCTTTTTAATCGCTGTGATTCTAGGCTATATACAAATATGTAGTGTAGTGTTTTATGTGTTCAGGTCGTTAAAGTCAAGCATTAGACACAATTAAAGCGGCCTGCATAGCTGAAACAGTGCGAATGAACACATATGCATAGGGCCAATATCAGTAAAAATTTAAAAGACAAACTCAGTGTCAGCCCAACTTAAACGTCCTACAGTGACGTATATATCGAAAGCCGCACTGCCCTCGACTGCAGAAATCGAAGACTTCGAGGTCGTAGGTGCAAGTGTTGGCTAAATGCATTTTTTTCCAAAGCCATTCTCAAAAATCGCAGAATATATTATTTCCATCGATCAGAGGATCAAGTCTACGTCACAATGTTGTAGGGAACCAGTATGGACTACGTCATACACCTTCACGTAACATTATAATGCAATAAGATGTTGTCCTTCAAGGTGGGATTATGGTCGGCCCGTTTCGGAGAATATCCATTTTGTGGAGGGACACTCATCAGCCCCTCCCTTGTCCTAACTGCGGCGCATTGCGTGGGCGGTCACTTTGGTTGCGAAGAGTTCCCCCTTGGAGTGGAATTCGGCATGCCGGCAACACCGGGCAATCGGCTGCAGGTGCTTGTGGGTGCCCATGACTACACGAGAGGGGATGGTTCCGAGCGATGGTATACTGTGAGGCGCATTGTCGTCCATCCGATGTACAACCAAAACGTAGCCCTGGAGGGCAATGATATCGCGATACTGAAGCTTGACGTTAGCATAGTGCCAGGTACGTTGACGCGAGGCTTTCAGGAATCTGCATCTATTTACAAGTAGGGATACCTTAAGCAAACATGCACGACAGATTGAATTCAAATTTGTATCTGTTTTTGCTTGTCCACCACCACCACCACTGACACGTCGGGTCAGTAAACGTCTTGTTTCAGCAGTCGCGTCTACTCCTTTTGAGGTGTTACTATACCAGCCCTAGATTCTTCAAAGTACTCAAGCGGCCACTGTTAACTCACTCTCACGCGAGGTCATTTGATCCACCACCACCACCACCACCACCACCACCACCACCACCACCATCATCATCATAACCTTCAAACTCTAGATCCTTCTCTCTAACAAACGGACATACCAGAATAATATTTTTTTAATGTATATGTTTTTACTTCCGTTTTAAAGTCACACATTAGCTCACCTCTTGCTTTCTCCTCAACTCTATATATGACTAGCACAGAATGAGCGCATTATAAAAAGCATACATCTACTTGCTCCAAAACAACTTTCATCTGTCATTACGCAATAATGAGCCCTATCCATTGGAATTTAAGAATTATGCCCAATATTATGACTTTATTTTTTTCCTGTTGCCGTTGTTAAGATGAGGCAGTACAGCCTATTTGCTTCCCGTCCAGTCGTGTCGTTCTACTGCAAGGACAAATGTGTTTCTTTGCTGGCTGGGGAAAGATGTATACGAGATGGTCAATGGGCAATCTGGTATTACCAAGGACTCTCAGAGAAGCGGAAGTTCAGATTGAACTTGATGAACACTGCATGCAATACTTCAACCCGTATTATCGAGATCGTCACACCTGCCTGAGAACACCAGGCACGGTATGTCCTAAACGTGTTACTGCCTCCGACCAAATATGATACTTGTGAATGACGACATTGTACTTAACTGCAATAGGTAGACGGTTCTTTCCCAGATAGCGCAAAATCACTGATGAAGAGAATTTGGACACAGTACTTTTATACTGCATCTCATATTTGGTGTCAACCTCCGTAGGTGGCTCTAAAGGTATTGATGTGGAGTTATTTTGAATGGCATATACACTGTCGAAAGAATAAATACTCGCAAAAAGAATGAGGAGATCAGTCGGCATATATTCAGCAGGACACCTGGTCTTGAAAAAGGAGACACGATCGCTGGAACAAGAGCTTCATTAGCCCGATGTTTCGGATTTCTGCTCGAACCCATCATCAGAGATAAAAGCAGACACGGCTGGTTCATGCACAAGGGGCTGCAGTATTTGTAGGATGCAGTCGCCATGCCAGCGCATACCTATGAACATTCCCGGGTCCCCTATTCACCCGGGATCGTTGCACTTGGTGCGCTAATTGTTTGATGGCCGACATTCGCGTCGTTGATTGACGCAATCTCATCAAGTGCGTTTGATGTTGGTGTGATGATTGCTCGACCATCTGACGCACCGATCCTGGAGTTAAGAAAAGTGTTCACCCGCGCGCTCCTGCATGGCCAATTAGTCCGCCTAGGCGAAGCCTCAGCACGGAGTATGGAAGGGGAAATTCATTGCACTCGTTAATGGGCTGGGGGCCAGTAAATCATGATTCAAGCAACTCCCGACTCACGCGGTTGTCACCTCTTGCGAGAATTTCAGCCCCCTCGAATTCGAATGTGTGGCCGGATCTAGTCGAATGAGCGGCGACTGGAGAGCTGGCGTCAATTCCCCTCACCGCTGCAGCGTGTTCGGCGATTCTCGCATTCGGAGCTGTCTTCCTGGTCGCGATGTGATTGGTAGCTCAGATCGCAGATTAGGCATCAAGACAAAATGGGACGGCGTGTCCCAAATGAGACGGCCACCATAATAATTAATATTTTCGATGACAATACAGTAGACGTCAAGCCAGATAACTGTCGCCGCAGTTTAAGCCGCAGGATGACCTTAGCCACCCGAGCTTCAGGTTCGATCCCAAAGGGGAAGAGAAGAAGTTGGACACCAGTTGCGAGAATAGTGCATTCTGCTGAAAATAATCGGTCGACTTTGAAGGTAATTGGCCAGTTTTGGCGGTCATGATTGGCCGAGAGTGCGCCCAGGGCTGTTAGAACGGCGTGGGCGTCATCATATCACGCCTTGTGCAAGAGCACGTCTGGGTCGACCTTGAAGGTAATTGACCAGTTTGGGCGGTCAGGATTGGCCGAGACTGCGCCCTGGGCTGAGAGAACGGCGTGGGCGTCATCATATCACGCCTTGCGCTAGAGCACGACTGAGTCGTCCTTGAAGATGACTGGCCAGTTTGCACGGTCATGATTGGCCGAGAAGTGGTGAGCACTACACATCTATCACATAATACTTGGCCTGGGACTGTAGGTATGCGATGCCATTGTAGTGAATGTCCTCCTTGTGCTCGCGTCTGAATGTAGGCGGCTGCCGACTTACGGATGAGAAGCATCATCTGTTATACGGCTACCGTGGATGCTATGTAACAGTCTCTGTTACATTAATTGCCCTCATCGCAGTAGAGGATGCGCAGCTATCTATTGATCTAATGCTCGAGAGCCAGGCTGGCTGATTCATCGTGAGCTCTTCATAAAGAAATAAATTCTTTCCCAGTTTTGGAACGTTCTTTAATATTCCTCAAGCCGTGACATCCTGTGTTTATTTTTGTTTGCCAGAATTTGTTAAAATGAACTCAACAGCAACTCGTAATGCTTTGACGCTTATATTATGCATATATTTTGAGACATTTGCATAGATTCTTGTGCTGTGGACACTGATTTGAGTTTTTGCCGATTAGTCGTTTGGATGAACATTGACGTAAAAAAAGTAAATTTGGTCCCTAGACGGGACAAGTGAATAGGAACACACACAATTCCGGAAAAGGCAAGGCGTTCCTGCGCACTAAGCCAAACAATAATTCTTATAAAAAAACCGTTGCCCACATATTACCCCTAACCATAGCCATAACATTAAGTCTGCAGTTACGGCTAGCCTCTACCTTATCCCTTAACTTGATCCTGATTTACACTACAGTAAACTTTAAATCCAGCTTTAAATCTAATTCATAATCTAGCACTAGCCATAACCTCAAACCGTACCCTAATTTTATTGGGATCTGGCTCCAAGTCACTCATAGTAAAGAAGATTCTCGTTTTTCTGCCCCGTTAAGGACGCCATATAAGTCAGTCCTACTCAAAATGTTGCTATTATTGAGTATTCGCCTAAAAAACGTACCCGTAGAATTGTTGATACCAATCCTTCCAGATGTAAATCCGTGTCCAGTTGTCTGCCTAGTTGCAATCTTAACACTGCGCATGTCATTACCGAGCCTTGTTATTTATTTTTCATGTGTCCTCTCATATTGATCAAGTCGAATATTCGAGATGATGGATAAAAAAGAATTTTGAAACCTTTTTGGTTAATAAATACTATTACGGCGCTTTGGGGATTTTTAAAACAGCAAGAAGTCGTTAGATATAAGCATGAGTTCATGTGTTTTTTCTGTGTGGAAACGGCAAAACAGAGTAAATAAATTTCTGCTTGGAAATACAGGAAGGTTCATTTAAACGGTTTGATTAAAGTTGTGTGACGGGCAGCGTTATGGAGCATAGACGCATTTGCCGACCTGGTGAGAATTGGGAGAATCAAACAATGACGGTTGTTGTAGCTCAGATGCCAGCTCATTCTCTGTGTTTCTCAACGTACGAAAACTGAGGCAAAAAGCCAGCTTTCAGACTGAGAGTCCGCGAAACGGTAAGCCTTCTTGTGAGCAGAGTAGCCACCAACAAGCACATACGCATAAGATGCAACTGTAGGTTTCTGTTCAACCATGTTGAACAGGTATTCCATGCATTTTAGAGTCCATGCGGAGGCGACAGCGGTGGCGGACTATTTTGTCCTTCAGTGGAAGGCAGCTGGTTCTGGTATGGAGCGATTCATGGCGGAAGGGCGGACTGTTTGATTGACGCAGCGGTGGTCATCAATGTTATGACACTTCACGAGTGGATAAAAACCAGCGCTTTTCGCCTGGGTCTGTAATACAACATTGAATGAAAAGTCAGTTTTAATTGAATAAAAAAAACTGTTTACCAAGGAAAACGGCATGCTATGTGGGCCTTCGGCCTTATTGACTCTGTACTGTCAGCGGGCTTTGAAGGGGGTGGGGAGGGGAAGCAGAGAGTGCGGAAGGTGACACGCAAGTCTAATACCACTATGAAATAAGTCACAGGTAAGTTCGCATCCCCACCGTCGTCCTGCTGTGGAGCCCACAGTGGACATCCTCAGTCACAACGGTTGAACTGTCGCCACGCAAGTTTGTTCACAACGATCGTGGGGGGCGACGTAAGGTCGGTCACAAGCATTATATAGACGAAATTACCACATGAGAGTTAAAAATACTTTTTTTAACTAAAATTTGAGACCGACGCCCTTGTGGTCATATCTGTGCCAAAGGAATTGTCGTCTCAGATCGAAATACGTATCCGTTGGACAAGATCGCGAAATGCAGCCCTAAAGTATATGGTCGTGTTGGCCTCGATCACAAAAAGCTTAATGTGGATAATCGTGTTTAAGTCATTGGAGTGTGTGCCTGGACGGAAGCTGATTGGCTTTCACAAGTGGCCAAGTTAAGTATTTTAAAGTCGATCTGCAAATCACTTCACGACATTTGGTATTCCCGCGGTGGTATATTATTTAATTGTAAGCGGAAGCAGCTATGCATGAGCAATTACTTCAGTACATACGCACTCGCGAGAGAAGGAGTTGAGGAAGGAGATGACTAGACCAAGCGGTTTCAGGAAACTTTCCGGCAGTAATATTGCTGGGCAAGAATAGGCTACCGACTCAGACCTTCTCCATGTGCATTTGTTCTTCTACTTGCTCCTGTGGAGCAGGCTACATTGGTCCTACGAGTCGAGGCGCCTGTTCACTGAGAATAGCTCCATGCTCGCACACGTGGTGGATTCTGGGCTTTGTGTGGACCTCAACGGAGCCCTCCGTGTGATTTCCAACGTTACACCTAACTACCATAAGCGACTGGATCAGCGTTTGCTAGCAACAGCTGAAACCACAGCTATCAGGCTACGGAGCTTGGTCCCATGCGCGCAGAAGAACCTCATGTACGCTCCTAGACGTACTTCTAAGCAGATGTGCTGACGCCAGCATCCGAACATCTGGCATGGACAATATACAACCGTCTACACTTTCCTGTCCCTTCAACAGAAACGCAATCTGGACCACTGGTTGGCGCAATGGATTAAAAAAATCGATCGGTAGATAACGGTGATGAAGAACTTAGAAGAGTCCTTGCGGGGACGGGTATGCTGACATAATTATTTTAAAGAATATTGTCACGCGATCGACAAAACTCATCATACTGACCGCAGAAAAGAAAACGCTGTTCGTCGAAGTCGTCTTTCAAGGGGACGCGGCGTTTAAGCTCCTGAGAAGGCGCCTTGACCATGTCATTTCAAGGACCTTCCCGGCGGCCAGAGTTCAAGTATTGTTTTTGACCAACGCCGTCTTACTCAGGCAAGGTACGGATAGGCTACCAGCTCAGACCACCTCCATGTGCATTTACTCATTTACTTTCTTCTGTGGAGCAGACAACATTGGTCATACGAGTCGGCGCCTAGCTGCAAGTATACGAGAACACATTTCGGCATGACTGAGGAGAGGTAAGGGTATACACAGCTCAATCCTCGAACACGTGGTTGAATATGGGCACGGTGTGGATCCCAACGAAGCCTTCCGTGTCATTTCCAAGGTTCCACCTAACTACCCCAAGCGACTGGATCAGCGCTTATTAGGAACAGCTGAAGCGATTGCCATCAAGCTACGAAGGTCGGTCCTGTGCGCGCGAAAGTATCTCTTGCGCGGTCAGCGTCTACTGCGGTCAAAGATCTATAAACCGCCCGTCCCTCCCCCTCCCCATGTGACAGGTTCTACTTAACAATCACTAGCACTTACTGCCTCCTCTCCCATTATCACAAACCACTTATATGCAGAGACGAACCGTTTTGCCTCACACCTCATTCTCCTATAAATGAATTGACCAGAGGAAAATTTATCCGAGGCACGGGTATGTTCGTCAAATGGTTATCTGAATTGCTGCATGGGAGTTTTCACAACTCTAAAAGCGATGTCCTAAACAAATTCAGTTCCACGCCATATGTAAGCTGGAAATGACGCATGGATAAGGTCAGAAAAACTGAAAAAGGAGCGACCACGTTAAACCCCATCCGCCTACGATTCGCTTTTGTAAATCCCAGTCAATTACGCACGGACCAGGCGTTCCTCGCAGAGGGGCGAATCAAACACGGCTCCTGATTCCGTCTCCGGTCTGCTTGAATCTGCATTGACGCGGGATCCAGGTGGAGGATGGGAGGGCGCAACAAATGTGTCCAGTTGGAGAGCCAATAAGGAATGAGCTAGATGCGTCAGGCGAATAAGGCCCTTGTTCCAGCGATCGCTTCTTCTTCTTCTTTTTCTTTTTCTTCTTCTTCTTCTTCTGATCAACTTGTTCCTGGAACTCGCATATTGGCTTGTATCGGCAATCACTATCACTACCTGGCCATATCGAAGGCCAGTGTTCGCGAGGAGTAGTCGCTTATCCAATTGCGATAGTGGTTATCGCGGCAGGGAGTAGCTCTGAGAACGATGGGAAGCACAATGACAGAGAGCCGGCCGCTGGCGCTGTTGGTCCTGGCGTAGGTCCATGCGTGCGCCTGATTCATGTCCAGCTGCAACCAATCATTGAGGAGGCAGATGTCGGTGTGCATTAAGCTGTCGCCACGGTGGGGAGGGGGGATGCTTCTGTAAACCCCCAGTCCAGTACGCACATACCTGGCGTGTGTGGTCCGCGCAAAGGAAGGAATCACAGTTGTCAAACACGGCGCCTGATTCAGTCTACGGTCTTCTTGACTCTGCCATGACAGAGGATCCAGGTGCATGAGCAGAGAGTGCACCAAATGTGTCCAGTTGCAGAGCCAAGAAGGAGTGAGGAGGATGTTGAGTAAGTGCACCATAAACTAATTTACGCTCATGTCGCCGTTTTCGCGAGGAGCACATGGCGGGTCGAACTGTCGAAACCTAAAGCTAACTCGCTGAGGCAATGGGGATAGAATGATTTCTGTCGCCTTCCGATTTGGTTTAGTAGCCCCACCCGAAGTAAACAACTCCCAGTCATCTCAAATACGGAACCGGTGGTAATAAGGGTTTTCACAGGTGGAGCTGGGAAACGCACAGGTGACAAGGTCAAGTAGATGAATGTAGAAGAGAAGCCATTGGGGGTGCGTGGTTGTACTTTCAATGATTGAGAAATAGTTGCGCTAACCGCCAACTCTAACCCTAACCGTTAACTATAGTACCTTATCCTAAACCCCAACCGCTAACCCTAAGCGTTAACTCTAACCCATAACCCTAGTTCCTCATCATTACCCCTAACCACTAACCCTGATCCTTTACCTCAACCCAAACAGTATTGTATGCATGGGGTGGCGCTAAAAAACCACATATTACTGTAATAAGCGTCCTACTGTCAACTGCTAAAGTGTTGTGTCTTCGGGGCCATAGTTCTAATGATAGGCTTTGATTATATTGCAGTAATAAATCCTCCATGCCAACTTGGTTCATTTTTCAAAATGTGTGAGAGAAGAGTGCGGCTAATTATGTACACGTCACTGTAGAGTAGTCCAGGTGCAAGTCAACGACTTTGCGTCCGCCATGCGATGATGCACACGGTGGATACCACACTGGATACCACAATCAAACAGTCCGACTGTCTGTGTCTGCTTGGATCACGCGGTAGATGTTTTGATATTACACAAAAGGCTAGAGTGAATCCCAGTAGGCTTTATCGAGAAGACGCACATATAACAAATGCCAGCATTTGGGGTGTAATGGAAAACCCAACTGGAGGCACTCGTCGCATCAACTGGGATCCCTGTCACTCCTTATATTCGTTGTCGTTGAAAATCCTGGTCAAGTGTTTGTTGTGTTCCTGGGAGTGTTGTGGTACGCCAAGGTTTCTTTTTCCTTAATCTGCATCTGGTGCCGACTTCAGCTGAGAGTTATTTAAATCCTGAATACCGAAATTTTTGAATATTTAGGATGATTATAAATGACTGCAACGCAATTCGAAATTCCAAGAGGCAACAAAAATAAGCATCCATGAGTATGCAAAAATGGCAATTCAAGATTCTGGCTTAAGTCACCAAACCTAAGCTTTGCATGCGCGGACACATATGGGATTGGCTATGAGTCGTTTACTAAGGGTGTAACCTGTGGCACTGTCGGTTGTTCGCTCATATAAATCTGTTCAAATACTTTCTTCACAATCAGGTTCCCCATTTCTATAAAAAGCCAGCTTATCGTCCGTTTGATCATATCCTTTTAGATAGGAAGAAAACATTGACTGCCTCTACTGTACGTTCTATATATGGGATTCTTTGCAGTCCTGTATGGCAACACCCAATGTCATTGCATATGTACTCGTTCGAAAACGTGCATCGGGGATAAGCGTTTTGAAACGCTGACGTCATCGGTTGACCGGTCTTGTTATTATGCTCGTCTGTGACCTGGCTTGCGACGCTACTTTGGCCACTGGGGACAGCAATAAAATGCGAAAGGTCAGTGGGGGCCAGATGATGTCAGATCAACATGAGCAACACACAATATGTTTGGCCGGTCTGAGAATATAGGTTGAAGGGTGGTGAAAGACGATTTATTCAGTGGACAGGGCACAGTGTTGTGGGTTGGTGACTGCAAAGAGAGGTTGATTTGGGAACGCGTGAGATTCAGGCAGGCATTCCTTCAGTAACTGACTGTTACCTGGGCATTAACGGTTCATTATACTTAATTGACCGTTATCGTTGAAAATAACGCAGACTATCTTAACCACCATGTCATGTCTCATGTCATCAGTATGGCGGAATTACACTCTAACGTAGTGTAGATTAGCGAAAAATAAATGAACCTTCAATTTGCTATTCTTAATATTACTGCTGAATTTAGTCAACGGAATATACTTCAATCAAGGGCTTAAATATCGACTTCATAACACTAATCGCAGATCAAATATACCGACATTGACAAACATAGCTCATCAAATAGTGGAAACATATTTCGCAATCAGCGGATGATCCAAGTGATATTAAAGATCAAATATTTGAAAATAGTACTCATCTAATTAAATGTATGCGCTAGTTCTGAGTTTCCATGGTTTTTTCTCGCTTTGGTTTTGCTTATACTCCAGTCGGCATGGATCGGTCGCATTGTTTTTTTTCGAAAACAACAATGCAATGCCTAGGCAAATAAAAACCGAGCCCGAGAAGCAACAATGTTACTGGCATTGCTTAATTCGCGCTGTTTAAACACTTTTTAGTCATCGACTAGGGTCCTAAAACATACAAAAGACTAAGTGCTCTTTAAGGCATCTTAACTGCCAATTGACATTTATAAGTGTGTGTTGCGGCGGATTATCCAGTCTGACCGCAATAAACGGCAGCACATGCATCACATAAGATTTTTCTTGTTCGGTTGACTTATTCTTTTCTTAGGATGTGCCAACATATAGTGCAAAGTAGTCGTGCTTTTATGCACTACTTGAATTGGGTGCTTCCTTAAGTGTATTTCAACGAGTTCAGTCACATTGATATTGCAAGGAACAGTTTGGCAAGGGCTTACTTCCGGCGTCAAATTAAAACCAACTGGTTTTTTATCCCTTGAGGCCTGCTGCAGCATGCATTTGAGTACAAATCTTTGGGGAAACCATTCTGAGAAACTCATTTACAGAGGTAATTCAGTTCAACGTAATAACTTTCTTCGTCAGAACAATGCGTTTTTGTCCGACTAAGCAGACTGTTGACAGCAATTTGCCCGTGAAAAATGGGACGGTTGGTCCTAGAATGTAGATTATTTTCCTTGCAAGTTTCTTTCCGGTAAACAAATGTTGCTAACGCCGTGTCGGCCTTTCGATGCACGAGCACATCCAGAAAAGAGAGCTTCCATCAACTTACTTTTCAAATGTGAATTGAATGCCAGGATTTTCTGAGTTGATAGTATTAAGCCGAATTTTTGTTGATCCTTCTGGACCGACGTCTCGCAGCAACAATATAGGAGAAACCAACAAGACAGCAGTAGCCTTTAGTTTCTGCACTGTTATTTCAGTAAGAAAATCATAATTAGGCGACCCCATAGAAGTTTCTTTCAGCTGCTTGTAGCAATGATAATAGAATGAGAAGTTAATTTCCATGCGTAAGCCTATTACTTCGAGCGGGAAGAATAATAAAATGTTTGCCCATTTTGAGGCCTTCTATCGTCTTTTTCTCTCCAAGTGATAGTACTGTGAACTTACACCGACTTATCAAGACTTTCACAGTACTGTTTCAAATAGCAGACCGTTCGTCTTTCATGAGATTTACTGTTGAACTTATAGGTTACGAGGTTGCAGGGAAAATTAAACAATGTGGACCAGAAAGATTGTATTTCAATCCTTTGAAGAGCACATTCTTTTGCTGAAACAAGGACTCTGGTGGACAGATTTACGACGTCCCTTGATCCCTGCTGATTTGTATTGTTTTTTTCTGAAATGATCATTCATGCTTTGTCTGAATTAATCCACTTTTTTGTCTTTCGAGTTCTGAAACATGTAACGGAGTATTGTTCAGCGATTGCAATAGGCACAAAGGAAGTTTTAACGCCGAGGATGCAGGAGTACGGGCTGCCACTGGTGATAAAAGTAGTCTCATGTGGGACTAACCATAATCCATCCTTCACCTTCACAGTCTTGTCTCTCACCCTAAATCCTAACTTTCATAACTTCAACTACACACAAGCCTAGGCTTCACCCAAGTACTGAACGTACAGACGTTAGAAACGACTAAATTTGAATTTGATATGCAATGTATGAGCCCGAAGTACACAAGTGAGGACGCTTACACTGCTCTATTAAACCATTTTTTATGCAATACAAAACACATTTTAGACAAATTATTTATTAACAGAAAGACCAAGGGACTTCAATTCAAATAATCAGACGAAGGTAACAAAAGAAATATATAAATATTACCCGCTTAATGCTAATTAGAAGACTTCATGGATGCATGTTTCTATATGTATATTTCAATAGAAATGAGCTTCTTAGAAAAAATAAATAAACTTAATTTTACATTTTCGACTTTGCTGCCCCAAGTTGTCCTCAGCCGTGAAGTAAGTTTGCAAAATAAGTAACATTTAGACATTCCTAAAAAACAATCTTTCCCTGTCACCCCTGTTGGCATAGTGTTCTGATTAGCCTACACCTTTTGCATGTTTTCTTAAGTCTGTTGTACACAGCATGTAATTATACGTGTCGACTGGTTTATGAGTTATCAGAATGGATGGTCTCTTAATATTCGCAGCATTTATTCGATTACCAGACAACTACAATGTGAGCCATGTATAAAGCGAATTTTTCTCCAGTTTCCAGGGCATACCTCACAACTTGGGGAAATGCCCTCGTCGTTTTATGTCCATTTGATATTCGTTTATTCGTGTAATTGCAGATATGCCAGGCATTGCAGGAATCACATGGCATCAATAGACGAATTCATTTGTATCTAAATGGTCAACCCTATCCTAAGTGTGTACAGACTGGTTAGGAAGTGTTGTCGTCGGCTTGTGCGCGACATGTATTTGGTGTTACCCAGATGTCTTTTAATTAGTTTGGACACATACTTAATGTACGGAAGTGTTCGCCAGTTTTTCGGTTGAGGCACGTGATCGGAACCATTCAGATTCTTGTCTTGTTCATTTAACTCCTGTAGTGTCATGCATCCGTATACAAAACATCTAGAACACCTATCCAGGCAAAATAGTTTAAACAAATATTTAAGTTTTGTTCGATTGGTGTCCTTGCCAAAGCAGTGTGTTCGTTCGCGTTAAAGAAGGCCGTTCTCGGAACTCCGTTTGTGAGAGATCACGTGATTGCTCTCAAAATGTAAACAATTTCTGCGTAAGTTTCCTTGCGGTTAACTGAAATGTCAAATGTCCCATCATACTTTCTCTGTACGAGGACATCAAGAAACGGGAAGTAGTTAGCAGCCTCTTTCCTGAGTTTAAATGTGATTTCTGGAATTCTTGAGTTAATAATTTTGTTGGATATTTCCGGTTGATAACTTTTAACATTGAAAATGTGTCATCAGCTTAATTTGCTCATAACGGACCGCTAATTGGTTTTAAGTCGATAGCCTCTAATTTCTGCGTGGCCTACATCTGCGAGAAAACCAGAGAGTGATGATCCCGTAGGGGTTCTCTTAAACTGCTGATAGTATATTTTTGCAAATGAAAAGTTCGCTTTTAGAAAAGAGTTAAGAATTCTAGAAAAATAGATTCAGGGATTTAAATTTCGCAGCACTGAAGACGTTCATCTGTATGCCATCTTTCTTAATCTAGTAGAATGTATGGCAATAGAGATTACATATCAAAGGACACCATTCTTTTATCTGCTGCGATCTTTATTCATGGACATTTGTCCAGAAACTCTATTGACTTGTTTTTTGATGTTTCGCAATCGTTTGTCAACGGATAGAATTTGTGAAAATGCTATTTGAAAATCTTGTAATTAGTTTCATGGACCAACAATACTATCGGTCGTAATGGTACTTCAGGTTTGCGAAAAATAGTTAGTTTACTTTCCTCGACTGTTCTTTGAATACCTTTATAGGGGAAGTTTGGTTGGCTGGAATTCGTTGAGAAACGCCAATTCATTTTTTTGTCTAAAACACTCCATTTTATGTATTTGGATCCTTAGAACACAGACAATTGCCTCGTTTAGAGATTAATTAATTGCAAAGGGAGATTTCGTCGGCAGATTTGTGCATGCTGTTCTTTGAAAGCTTGGAATTCCTGACTTTTGTAGTCAGCACTGTTATAAAGGCGCTGAGCAGGTTTTAGTCTTAACGTAATGAATTTTGATGTCCTTAGGTATTTCTAATGACAAGTATTATGTTAACAGATTTTGACAAAACCGTCTGATTTTGGCTATTATGTTGTAAAAGCAACCGTTCTCGAGCGAGAAGTTTGCAAATCACGCACTTTTCTCACCATCTACGCTTACAAACTTTATAGGTTTAAATTTTAGAACAGGCGTTCAAAAAAGCGTTATTCAAAAAATACGTTTTCTGGGAAAGATAAACAAATTGAATTGCAAGTTTCCGAACTTGGTTCCCCAAGTCGTCCTCAGACGTGAAGCAACTGTGAAAAACAGTTAAAATTTAACCATGCTTACATATATATAAACAGGAAGATGAACATTTCAGGGAACACAATCCATCCTTTGGGGAATTGAACGAAATTCAGTTCGAAATTTTCCACGCTTGTTACCAGAGTCGTCGTCAGACGTGTAGATAGTGTGAATAGCGTTGAAATTTAAAAATGCCCAAAAAGTCGATAGTGTTTTGCCAGTGTTGAGGATGGGTCGAATCTGTGGGCTAAAGTCACGCTTTGATTGACTATAAACTTTCCCGAGCTTGGGAAAGTGGACCCGTTTCCTTAATGCTCATTGTATATGAAGACGTTTATAAACAAGAATATACACATGTCATTTACCGGATAGACTGCAGTTGTGGTCAAGCCAATTATGTTGGTAAGCCGGCAACCAAGTACGCACGAGATTGCACGAACTCGAGTTAGCTGTGGGACGGAAAGATAAACTCTCCTTGGTAGCCGCCCACGCCTCCACGACAGGACACGGCTTCGACTTTAAGTGCGTGAGAATATTGGACCAGTCGGACGGCCAAGTTGCTCGCCTGCTGCAGGAAGCATGGCAGTCAACCGAGGACTCGATTAATCGACATATCGATTTGTCAATCGCTTATCAAGAACTGTGTGAGTAAATCAACAGCGCAGATAGAGGTCACTTCCGGCAGAGGTAAGTTAAATACACGATGAGTTGTACAAGTTTTCATTCCTTGACGATGGGCTCGCGTGAGAGTTCGAAACGTCGGACAAATAAACCATTGGTCACAGCGATCGCCTTCCCGTCTTCTTCTATGCAATTACCTGGGCCGCGCGTATTCTCTATCATTCGGAACACATGTATATGCAATGATAAGGGCGCCCAAATATGGAAATCTACTGTAGCGATTGATATCTTACACCGAGAGTCATATAGGCCATACATTTGAGTCTACATATTATCAATCACCCAGAAGATCTTGGTTCTCAAAACAACTTTTAGCCATCATAACTTAAACTACAACATAACCCATACATAACCCAAATCCTGAGCTCTTGGTATTTTGGGGACATTTGGAGTTAGGGTTGACCTGCAATGTCTGTCCCTGCAGTCCACAAATGAGGGCATTCACCACCTCACTAGTAAACACCTTTTTGATATAAAAGCCTAAGCCACACACAAAGTTGGACATAGGTACGCAGGGGGCATGTCTTTTAGAACGTCTTTCTTACTATTACGTCTCGTTCTACTTCTTCATTTCAATCATGGCTGCAAGCATCAACATACAAAGCGTACGTCTGACATGCAATAAATAATCATTTAATAGAAGCATGTAAGACTAATTGCATGCTCATAAAGTACTTGGTAATTTAGGAATTTAACTGCATCCACCTTGCGGTTAACAGTTTAAGTTTGTAACATGTGATTCACTATCCACAATAAAGTATCAGCTGTTCTTAAAAGCTTTTTCTAACCATCAACATGTTTAGCGGCTCAATCCTTAGAACCCTGTCCGTCGTCCGGAAGGAATATTCGTCTTGCTGATGTCTTGATGCATCGACTTCAGATGAGTGCTTTTTTCAGTGCATACATCAAATTTAAGCAAAACACCAACATAGAGTTTTATATGATATATCAATCAGCACCAAGGATAGATCGATGCTTCTTCGTTAATTTTGAGAGTGCAGCTCAAATAATAAAATCGGCCTGCAGTGTTACGTTCCCTAGTCTGAGATTTCGCTTGATGCAAACGGTAGGCAGATTTTTCGGACCTACGTCCAATAAGTTGAATACCAAAGCTTAACCAGTGAGGTTAGACTAATGAAACAGCATTAGTTATACACGCAAACAAACCTAGACAATTCGACTTTAAAATGAGCGGTAGCATCATGTTTGGTTTTATAAGACACATTGAAAATCATGCAGAATTCTCATACCTGATTGTCAGATCAAGGGCTTTTTTCATCAGATAATGCGAAAAAAATAAGTAGCTTAACGTAGGCGAAATGCAGAATCTGCGTATATATTTAGGTCTATGAAGGAGTTGTTACCATCCGAAATGAGTGACAGCACGAAAATGTGCCACCACGCATTCAATGATTTCAAATTATTTAAAGAATGGGTGGCGCACGAATAGGGACTATATGGGAATCAGCATATGCTACCTTAGTAACATGCCATTGTGCGTGAATTTTACATTATATTTGTGTGGCAAAAAATATAACTATTCAGAAATTTTAAGATTCTTTGTGCAAATTCACAAAGCGTAGATTTGTATTTTATCCACTGCGTAGAAATACAGTTATCCGGATACGGATATAAGTAGACGTAATTCCGCGATGCCATAAATAAATAATTCAGTATTTTCGTTTAAGATGAGTAGCAACCAGATTTTTTACGTACAGTAAGTGCGCCAACGTTAGCCAAAATTATCACGTTAGATTTGTGTTTCGAAAAGATTGATTAAATTGAACTGTAAACAAATCGTTGTGCAACAGAATTCTATAAAAAGTCAATTAGCACGGTGTCCCGCCTTTCGAATAAACTTTTCCGGGGTTGCATGCAAATGCATTGCATTGCGAAAATGACTATTTTATTAACATGTTTTTTCCCTGATTTTCGATACCCTGAGAAATGCAAATATATTTCATAGAAAAGATGCGGAAAATGTTCTTTTCCTGCGTATGCGTTAGCAAATGACGACTTCTTCTATTTTTGGACGCGAAAAACGTAAAATACGATTTTTAGAACGCTTTCAATTCGCGAGTGATTTTCAACCTGACCTTCTTTACACTTGCATTCGGGGTTTTCACACCTTTGGCCGTATATTTTTAGCGTATGGAAAAAGCATGCATTACTCTGAGGTATTAATAGGAGACTATATGTGGTTCATATAATTTAACAGTGGATTTCGGCCAAATGTTAACTTTACAAGCCACATTAGTTAATGCACTGAAATGAACAAATATTTCAAGATATTAAACAATCCTACAATTAGACACATTTAAACCACCCATCTTTACCCTCCATTGGTAATAAAATTGAGAAAAAAAGTAATTTCCTACCGATTGCGTAAAAGAATGAGTAGGTTTATGCATGTTTTCCATGAAATATAATTGAAATTTTAAAGGCACCAAAAATCAATTAAAAGATTAATGCTCCGAAAATTGTCACTTTTTACAGTGTTTATTTTTCATACCGTCTGAGAGAAGTTTGTTCCAAAGTCGGCATCCTGCAATAACTGAATTATTGTAGAACTAAGCTGAATAAGGATTGGAATTAAACCCTACTCAGGTTATCTTTTCAAAGCGGAAACGCAGTTGCTAATGTTTGTTAACATTTCATATGTTTACAAACCTATTGCACGTGCAAAGTATCAAAACCTGTTCCCAAAAACGTCCTCAGAATTTCACGTGTTAAGTGAGAATAAGACGCCTTATTTATTCTACAGGGTCAGCAATATTAATGATATGGTCTCTATATGATTTACTGTTTTAAATTACGCATAATTACCTTGTGCATCACATTTTAGCTGGACGTATATTACCAACTAAGAATGGCCGTCACACTCACTACTTTGGACACTCTTGAATTTACTCTTGAGGATGTGGACGCCGTTGCAGAATTCGACCTCATCTCCAGTCAATTAATAAAAGGAAGAGTGATGCACCTAACCGGGGTTATTTTCAACGCGACCTACGAAAGCTTTTTAATGCAAAATGTAGCAATTGTGCCATCGGTAAACCTGCCGTGGAAACAGTATGCGCTGCAAGCGCTAAGCAAGTTGGCAACTGAGGCAATGTCTAATTCAGTAGCATTGGAGTGCATCCTGTAGGCCAAAGACTCTATCTACCTTCGTGTGTGCGGTGAAAAACACATATTTTTGGCAAAGGGAAATTTCCAATAAATCTTATTTAACAAACGCGTCTCAATTAACCATAGAATGCATGATATGGCGTAACCTCTGTGCTGGAAAGTAACGCCATTTAAAAAAAAACAATGCAATGACTGTTGCAATTTCTGACTTGATCAGCAAATTGCCTTAGTTCGATTTTGCTTAAAATATCAAAAATTGTAAGGTCGTTTCTAGCCAGCATGCATAAGCCCGCAACGTATAACTGCATAGTTTTAAGAGTCGCATTTATCCCTCTTTATTAACTATCGATGCCAGACTTCTGTACTGGCAACTTCATCGCGTCCTTTTCATGTTTGAATTATTGCTAAAATCGATGAACATATTAAATTTATTACGTAAAGAGGAAGGTGCCCATCAGCGTAACACAGGCAACTCAGCCACACATTAACAGTACGGTATGTTGAGGGTAATCATTTTGCGAAACTGATGCAATTTTTAGAAATTTAATACATAACCTTGGGCAATCAAAAGGAAATAACAAGAAAAATCAGTGAATGTTTAAATCTATTTCACGCGACATAGAGAGAGTCAATGGCGGAGGAAGTTGGTTTGATAATGAAAGCTAACAAAACAGGCGCCGGTAGTAAAATCTATATACATCACATAGTCGAAAGATTTCTCACGCACAAGAATGTGATTGGGGCAAAGTAATAACAATTAGTAGTTCAGGTGTATGGCCCGTGACCGAATGGAGTGTTTCTGAATAATCATTCAAAATTATGTGTTACTGCGCGCCACTGAACACCAATGTTCCACATAAATTCTCGATATTCCTCATAGACTGATTCCACTTTATTTGACCTGTCTTGAATATGCCGGATGCTTTTAGTGTGCTGGGCGGCTTAACTATGACAAACCAACTAAACAGGAATCCCAAACAAAAAAAAGATGCTTAAACGGCCCAAAATACCTCTAATTTTGCCACGGTTAGACATAGTTTTAACTACTCTTTGTTTAGAGTATCATGCTTTACAGAAAGCGGCCTATATTCCGCTTGCAAGAAAAACCTCTTATTAGGCCATGGTCGTCTAGGTCACTGAATATGCAAGATGAGGGCATGGCAGTGGAAGTCGGTTTTAGAAAGAGAGTTAGTAATAGAGGTTACGACAGCAACCTCCGCGTATATCAGTTGGTCAAACAGATTCGTAAACGCAGTAATTTAACCGATGCGAAACCACAATTACTTACTAGTTTGCTTGTCTACTTACAGGTGTATGGCAGATGGTCATATGAAGTGTTCGTAAAAACATACTCCAAAAATTCAGTGTTACTGTGCGCCACTGAACATCAATGTTCCATATAAGTTCTCGATATTCCTCACAGTCTGATTCCACCCGACGTAGCTTGAACATATCGGCAACGTTTAGCATGCTGAACGGCTTGATTATGGCAAACCAACTAGACCAGAATCCAACACAAAAAGGAAGATGCGAATTAAGTGAATATGTAGCCAACTGTTGTGAAAGGTTTGATTGACCTTAAAATACCGCTAATATTGCCGCGGTTAGACATATTTTGAACTGGTCTGTGTACAGAGTATCGTGCTGCACTGAAGACGGCTGATGTTTCGTTTAAAGAAAACATGTTATTAGGCCATGGTCATCTAGGTTACTGAATATGAAAGATGAGGTTTAAAAGGTAAGGTTAACACACGGATTAAAGCAAATTAACCTATTTGTCTGACAGGGTAAGCATGCAATAATAACTGTCATTTCTGCCTTGATCACTGCACTGTAAAATGTGTTATTTTGTTTGTATCAATAGTAGACTGAGTTAATATGGTTTGGAGCTGTTTTGTTCGATTCAGAACTTGATGCCTAAATGCAGCAAACTATATCTAGTTTTTATTGTTGGTTTAAATGAGGATTTCTGTTTTAATATTTAATTACCACCGCAAGGACATAATACTTATTATTAGAAAGCATCAAAACTATGTGCAGTTTAATGCATAAGAAGGGAGTTGCTGAAATAGAAGAGAGTAAAAAATAAGTAAATCGTCGAATCTCTTCCACGAAATGTACTATTTACTTTGAGAGTAAATTAACATGTTCGACCATCGTGGCAGACAATGTCCAGCGTGTACCATACCGGTTAAGCTTCTATGATTTCCACGGTTCAGGTGTATTTTTAGTCTACTTTTGTTAAAATTAGCCGGTTGCCTGTATAAGGAATTGGCATTTTGGCAACTGTCTTCTGGTCACAGTCGTTGCACAGAAGAAGCCATAGAGTCATAATATTAGACGGATGTAAGGATCTTATTTATTTTGTCTAGTTTTTGATGGGATGCATTGGAAATGAACAAGTTTTGTTAGCGCGCTGCGGATTTTGATTTTACTGTGCACGACTCATTGGGGAAATCCAAGTAGATTCAAATGAGTTTGACGTTAGTACCCAGATCCCTTGATTTGAACGAGGAATGGAAACATTACGCACTAATGAAATGCGAAGGATTGATGAGGACTGGCCCATTGGCTCGACTGAACCGGCATCAGTGTAAAGAATGCATGGGTTTCCATTTGAATGTACGTTTAGCTGGTCTTTGCCTAGATTTGTCTAAGTGGATAGATCCGGTGTCCCGGTGAAGAAAAAAATGCAATCAAAATATATTTAAACTAAATTTACCATATAATGACAGAGTATTTGGATCGCAATATAGGACAGATCTAAGTTATTTTGCCATCTCCTCGTGCCCCTGATGAAATCAAACGAGACAACGTTCAACTGCCGCATTCCGGTCCTGGCTAGAGATGGCAGCACTGCATGTCTTGCGTTGGGTGACAGAACGACGAGTAATATTGTTTATACAGGCTGAGAATTCCAAAGCCGATTTGCGAGGCGAAATCGCCATAAATTTCTGATTGGTGGCTCTGCCGAGGCATGATATGGCGGACCATATTCTTAAATTTGTGTTGCAATACCCCATGTATTTCTGTAAATACAGAATATCCGCATTTTGAAAGATATTCCTAAAATAACTTTTCGAAACAAGAACGCATTTCGAAATTTTGGTTGACATTTCATGAGTTAGTACATCACTATTGCTCACTATTGTCAAAGCGTCAAGTTAAAAAAACCGATCAGAATTTTTGATAAGTTGGCCTTGAGCTGATCAATTTTTCTTTCCTTTCGCAGCCTTGGCCTACTGGCCGCCGCCTGTGAGTGTTGGTGGCCTTCGTTATTTCTTGTCGTCATCTCAGTTGGGGTTAGTTGCGTTTTCGTTCCCCTTTATGGGTGAAGTGGTCGACAAGCCGTGTTTGTTAGATATTCTTGGGCTCCATGTGATTGTCTTGTCTTCATCACGGCGTATTTAGTTGCGTACGACTTTATAAGCCGAAAGAAGGTCTAGACGCCTGTTGACGAAGTTGGCATCTGAGTATCATGCCTCAAGTTTGAGCCGCTCAGACCTTGAGGTAACCCTTCTTTAGACGGCTGCTCTACAAAAGTCAAAACTGTGACCAGTTTCCTCAATGTGAGTCGCAAGCTGTGAGTTTGGGCCGAGTGTCTGATTTGCCAGTTTGTGCTCATGTAGGCGGGTCTGCAATTTCCGTCCGGTTTCCCCAACGTAGTTGCAGTCTCCATACATACAACTTATTTGATAGACAACTGCTGACGTCTTCTCAGGCATCAATTTTGCTCCATTGCTGGCATGTTCTAAGAAATCTCAAGGATTCTCGAAGGCTCAGACATTAGTTGATACTTTTCAGTTCATACGTCATCGCATCAACCTCAGTCTATTAAATGCCTGACAGGTCATGTCGATGCCATCCTTCCATTGTTAATACTTCAGATGATGTAAATGACGCAATCCCCGGCAAAACAACACACACTTTACACCTTCCTTGGATTTCTTCGCAGAGGAGCACTTTAAGCCGGGTATTGACAACAACAGAACCGAACGTTATTCCGTTCTGGCAATTTTTTTTATTAAAGAACGGATTCTACCGGCACTGTTTGCCTTTCCACAATGCGTTTATTCGTTTTAGTCAGTTTTTTGCGTTTGCGCTATTTTTGCTTATCTTTAAGGAAAATGGTCATCTCTACATATCATGATATATCCTTCAATAGTATTTGTCTGCTTTAACGTTCCTAAGAATATCTAAACCTATTCTTGACCGCATACCAGTGAATCAGAGCGGTCTGTAACTTAAATCCATACAGTTTCCGACGAGATCCAAATTACCAGTAAATTGGAGATTCTTAAATCAAAACTACATGCGCAGAAGAATAGCGTCTAAATCTGCTTCTTCGGGTGTGCAATGCGCGTATTGTAAAGCCGTGTCTTCTATGGGCCATCATCAAACTGATCAATCCAACCAAATGCCATAAAATATTCAATACGTCAGTGTAGACGAAAAATTTATTCGACGACCAAGACAACTTATTTTACTGCACTATGATTAATGAATTCGTGACGATCCTTAAGGCTTTCAAATAAAAGAAAATTATGAGAATACCAAGTAATGGTCAGAATAAAGCGGAGTTTTATAGTTGCCGGAAAATTTGTAATTCTGGCCTAAAAGCATGTCGTCTTTAAATTTCAAACCATTTGTTATTTGTTGGCATGAAATTCGGATTGCAGGAGTTACTGCCATTTATGCGACCTCCCTGTGCACAGTGAATCAACCGATTTTGGCATATGTGCATTTGTCTTCGTCGTTATCATCTCCAGTCAAGTTAGTTCAAATCACAGTGAATGAATGCATTCGTATCTCCGACATGGCTTATTTCTGTCGGTAAATATGGGATTAGTAAAACTCAGGACATGGATTATGACTTTGAGCTCCGAGTTGAAGCTTCATCAATGGTCGGATAATGTCCTTATTTAAAGTAGGCATGGACAGCAGAATTTATAGGTGCCAGTAAATTTCGTGACATATTCTCAACTACAACCTGTCGTTGCATAACGCAAAAAACAACTGCGAAATGTACAGAGGTTTTAACTTCGACAGAGAAAATCAATATAAAACAGCAAGGTCATCGTGTACTGCGCGTATACTAATCAATAAAATGGTAACTTCAAAACGCAGTATAGGAAAGAAAGTGGGGAAGTAAACATGCTGAGGGATTTCGAAAATTAAAAGGGGGCTCAGACGTACGAGGGTAAGCTGAGGTTAACCACGTGATCTATCTGCTTACAAAGGTTGGGTTTCTCCCGCCGTGTGTTGGCTGCCTCCAGGTAGCGCAATAACCGAGTAGTTCGTGCTCGAACTAACACTCGAAAAGACGTTTTGGGGTCAACCAAATGGCCACTAAAAAGGAGATGTTTTTTAATATAAGTGCGTCGAATCTTATATGCCTGCTCTAGAAGCCATTTAGGCAGGTTTTCAATTGCCCTGGCTGCCAATTGCCTTTGCGTTCGTCCAATGTAGTTACATCCATAAGTGCATGTAAATTCGTAAAGTCAGTTTGACGTGGCGTGCAACGGCAAGGCATACTTCACCCGTGTAACTTCGAAAGCCTTAGTAGGGCTGAAGAAGATGAGTTAAGCTGAGTTGTAAGCTCTATTAATAGCGCATCTCAATCGCCTGCTTTAAATTCATTCCATGGAAATATTGCTTCAAATGTTCTAATAGCCGAACTCTTCCCATCTGAACAAGCGACCATCTTCTGGACATGAAAACTGTGTTTGTAATACATTCCCCATATAAGTACATAGAAAATAGGGTGGGAATGCCTTGCTTTGCTGGTATTCTGGCAGTACAGGGCACACGATTGAGGTGTTCAAGCCTGCCAGGAACAGTATGCTTCCATTCCGCTCATCAGGCAACTGACCACCAACAGCAGTTGCGTGGAAATGGAATTAAGTAACAATTTAGCGTTGCTTCTATAAAGCGTAAAGAAAAACTCATTTTTATACATATTCTCGTTCCCAGTCTGTAGTCATGTATATATAAAATGTAAACATAAATATATAAGTATTAAGAGGAGAAGGCTCGTCAAAAATCGAGGTATAATCGTAAATTTTCAAGTCGGTTACATCAACCCGTCGTCCGACGAAAATAAAAGGTGTGAGGGAGATAATCCCACTGGAGAGTTAGGGGGACATCGAGGTTACATCGACAAGACACACGTTCATGTGTGGGGATGAAGAACGTGTTTGGATAGGTGGCGGACGTTAGGGGAGGTGTTGTGGGTTTCACACATGGTTCACTCTGTGAAGGAGAGGCTGAATCCATGATATTCTACATGATCGAATATGGATTAGCAGTTGGTGTCTCAGGGTGGGCGCAAGCCGGCGATCCGTTAACGTAAGCCCTCATAGTGAGCGTCTACGTCGACATGGCGGCTGATGCTATTGTTATCAGAGCGCCAAGTTTCTAGAAACTCTCGTTTGTTTGGTGTTGGCGCTAGCGATCACTGCCGTTCCCTCCCAGTTGAAGCGGTGATCACACTCAAGGGCGTGCGCAAACACGAGAGACAAGGGGTCCCGTCGGTAGATGGCCAACTTGTGTTCGTTAATGCAGGTTATTTTTTGAGTAAGTCGGCGCTACTGCCGAAGACCGTGTTTTTGCCATTATTATTTAAAAATATCAAAACTATCGTACAAAAACAGCACACGAACAGAGGTTCCGGCAAATGGCTTCAAGGCAAGTAATATATTCAAAATTGTTGAATGACATCCGACGGAACGCCTTATGACACAAATACCGTCAATAACACAAAGGCTGTGGGTTGTAATTATAAGTATATTATGTTATATACGACCGAAAGGCAGGTTGATTACGAAATACCAATACGAAATCTACGACACAGCATACTGTTTGTCGACGAGAACATGCGGATGAAACACTGCCCACAAACATGAAGTAATAGACGGCAAATAAAATTGTTCGCATCATAAAGCCAGCAATATTTAAATATCGAACACAGATTTTCCGGCGACAAAACGCACATTGTGGACGTTTGTTTGGTTAGCAATTCCGAGAAGGCTTCCATGCTGCTAGTTCGATTTAATCATGCATTAGTCGACACAGGGATTTCAGTACCACGTAGAAGGCAAGACGGCCAATCCGGACAGAATCACAGGAATAATCAACACTAATGCGGCGGACACAGGACAAGCAGATTGCGTTTGCAGCCTGTGTACAAAATACAACCTGGAAAGTAAGAATTCTAACGTATGCACATTGGCGAAGGCACGTTTTTACAATGTGCAACTATTTAAGCAGAAAACAAAATTTATGTGTTATGAACGGTATAATGAAGGGCAGATATTGTCGCAGTTAGGTAGTAAACAAATTCAGAACATTTGGTTTATAGAACTACGATGATGACTCACCTATATTCGTAAAAGCACATAAGAATGCAAGTGGGGCATCAAAGTAAAATGAATGTTGATACAAATATGTGGGCCAGTGGCATGTTAAAACACGTTCTGGGCGGTTTGTTATTGCATATAATGAACACCGTATACTTGATTATCTGAAGCTTCTTGCTTCTCTATTTGTAGAGCCCTATCCTTTTAATTCAGCAAATGTGCTAACTCGTGAACTGCGAGACGACATTTCCAAATGCGTTTTCGTTTTAAAAAGATTAACGAAGTTGGGTTGCAAAACTTACTATCGTTCAGCATAATTCGATAATTATTTATTTATGTGAGGGTACGAGCCTTTGAAAGAATTCGTCTCCGATCGCATGCGAAATCTATACGCCGTTAAAAATGACTAATTAAGCACATTTTTTATATTTCTATATTTCATTGAAATCATGCATCAGCATATCCATTCCTTCGCTTATTTTGCAAAAAGGTACGCCTTTTTAATTTATACTCAAATAAAAGATATAATTGGGTTTTTAAATCTTTTTCAATTCCCGAACAATTTTAAATTCGACCTGCCGTTACACTTGCGTTCAGGGTTTCTAAACTGCAAGCCGTATATTTTCCTTGTACGAAAATCATGCATTTTTCTACAGTATGAAGAGGTACTTATATGGGTTCATAAAATTTAGCAGTGAATTTGAGCCAAATTGTAAACGATACAGAACAAATGACGTTTTGTGAACAGCTATTTCACGGTGTTGAAGAATCTCACAATAAGGAATTTTGTGAAATCGAAAATACCCCTCATCTGGGTATAAACCTGGAAGAAAACCTACTTTTCTACCAGATGATCAAAGAATAAATATTTATTTGCAAGTTTTCCGTTAAACATAATCGACTTTTCAATGTCATCGAGGATGCACTCTACTTAAGCAGTCATTTTATACAGATGATCTTTTTGCGCGCGGCCGGAAAGAAGTTTGCTCGAAAGCAGGCACTCTAACGTAACTTAAAATTATAGAATAATGCCGCAAGGCTACAATTTTAACAACCAATTTAATCAATATTTTGACACGAAAACCCATTTCGGAATTTCGGTTAACGTTTTAAGATTAAGTCAACCTTCTGCTAATGATAACCTGGTTGCATTTAATTATTTTTTAGACTTATTATCGTTAACGCTAAGGCCTTTTAAAAAGTTTACGGCAATGCCAAAAATTGGAAGTGTACTTGTTGTCGTGAACGCGAATTAGACGGACATAAGTGTAAGTCAAGTAATGGGAAGTAGTCTCTCTTATCTTACCGTACATATCACAAAACTGTCGTTCAATAAAACGAACAATAAACCCAGAACAATGGGAGAATTGATCCTGCTTTTTGGGCTTTCCTACCTATCCTCCCGAATCCACGGATGTCGTCATCTAAGGCAAATTGGTAGGTCAGCCTTGCGTTTTATATCGTTTGCAATTTTGCGTCAAGTGCGCTATGCCGTAAGATTTTACTAGGTTATTCCATATTTGTTCGCAAATCATGTTTTTGCAGTTTTATAGACACCCAGCGTAACTTTTAGAACATATTTCAGTAGAACGTGTGCAGGAGCTGATCTCTTTTGCATCACATACAGGCCGACAAATATAATTTAGGGACTTTTGAATAAATTAGTTATTTAATATATCTGTTTTTAAAAATTGGCAATTCAGAGGTCAGAGCTGTAAGCGTTCTCAAGTGCTCTATGTAGCATTTGGTATTGCAGATAGGAGTTGCGAATTTTCAAAAGTATATGAAAGAAGGCGTATGGCCGTGAACTGAAAAATGCACCCGCATCACGAATCAAGGCAAAATTTCGTGTTCCATGTGTATGCATAAGTGAAAAAGAAGAGTCGAGCAACGGAACACGTCACTCTTTGCAGCAAACCGGAGAAAAGAGCACGTGAGGCCCGTTATCTCCGGGACCACTTTGTGCAAAATGGCTACCCGAGGGCATTCATAAGTCGCTGCCTACGCGGTCGCCATCAGAGAACTCGAACATCAACGTCACCGACGATATGGCTTTCTCTGCCATACATCAAGGGTGTTTCAGAAACGACCAAGCGCATTGCTGCGGAACTAGGTGTTGGAATTGCCCACCGTCCCAAAGCCACCATGCGCGGCAAGGTCATGAAAATCAAAGACCGATTAAAACCTGAAGAGCAATCTGGAGTAGTGTATCGCATTCCGTTTCAATTTTGTCATTGTAACTACAGAGGACAGATTGGACGCATGCTCGGATCGCGCATACACGAACATAAGCTGGCTGTGCGACGAGGCGACGCATTATCACAAGTGGCCGCCCACACCTACGAAATGGGTCACGAGTTTGACTTCGCAGCCACCAAAATAGTCGCCCACGCCGGAAACAAGACAGGCCGAGAATTGATTGAAGCCTGGGCCTCGGATGAGAACTCGGTCAATCGACTTATTATCTGGCGCCGGCGTACAGAGCCCTGCGTAGTCACCTCCAGTCTCGCACCGTCGGTCGATGATTGGACCTACGTGCCTTATAACTACCGCTTGTCCTGTTTCTATCACTACCTCTGACGATGGACTCGTGTACGAGTCTGAAAGCTCAGGATAATAAACGAAGTGTTCCGTTTTTTGACTCTTCTTCTTCTTCACTTATATCCGCATCAACACGAAGCTCTTTTGCTGCCTGCCTCAAGTATCGATAGTATTCAATAAAAAATATAATCAGCTAAATCATTCATAGAATGCTTTCGAAACCACTTTGCATTTTCCTGGCAAGTTTGACTATTTTGCATGTTAAATTACGTGACGATATTTTGTTCGAAAAAAATTGCGCTTTCTTATATTCTCCAACCATTACCTATTCAGCCATTGATGTCCAGCAATTCTGTCCACGCACCGGCGATGACGCTCATCTCACGGATTCTTGGAAGATCAATTTAATTCGAATCACATTCTTCTATCTACCACGAGCAGGACGAAGAAATGCAGACAGAGTTTCGCATGACTCTCCCCCCCAAAAGTCTAAAATGCAAGGCTGCTTCATTACATACAACCACTTTAAAGCCCAACCGACAGTAATGACCTGTAATATTACGCTCCTTGTTATCGCATTTCGCTTACATTAAACGGTAAGCTACTGGGATTGCATTTTACACTATGAAAAGATTTGGTGAGAAGTGCCGTGATGTGAGCGGTTTTCATTTAACGGCCTTAATTTGCAAGAGGTAGGAATTCGTGACTTCGAAAAGTGTAGCAGCCAATTCCTGCGCAAAATTATGTCATTAAAAACATTATTTTTGATCATGCCGTTTAAATGACGTGATGGCCAAGTCAATACAAATTGCATTTTTGGTATATTGCGAACACATTCCATATATACATGTCCAATAATTGCCCGAATTCTGTTTCAAAGGCAGTGACGCAGACTAGGACTCATCTCTAAATCGGAATTTGTTGATTAAATTCGACTAACAGCAAAAATGTGACTACACTTTAGATGCCAACCTCACTTACAGCGAGTTGTCCAAGCGTATGATGCTTCATTTTACAGGCCTTACATTTAACACTATTTACAATTTCTACGTTGCGCAGCATAAGCGTCCTTCACTCCCAGGAAGCACACCATGGAGACTGCATATACTGCAGTCTCTGGATAAGTTCCCAAATATTGCGATAAAAACATGTGATAACTCTAACGTGCATTGTGAACTGCAGTGGGTGCATTACTGATTGACGTGGATTACCAGGTGATTTACCTATGTCTACATAAAAGAACAGGAATTTGTTTTCAAGTTTACTATACTTTGGCTCTGCTTTTGGGATATTCGCAACGAGAAGAAAAAGAGCTTGCCCGTTTTGCGTTTCGGGCTGCCTTTCGAATCCAACAAGCAGCCGCACAAGGAAGACTAAAATCGGCAGAATTGCAGTATCGGCAAAGACAAGGGAGACTGAAATGGCCATCTGTGGCTCACTAGCCGTCGTCAAAGAGCCATGACCAACCCCGAAGTAGAGAAACCTGGTTTCGATCCTGCAACCCGCTAGGTAAAAGTCCAAGGACTCTATCACCTAAGACACGGGCTCCTTGTCTTGATGGTTTCGGTCGGAAATATGCAGTGAAGGAGAGGCGCTAACCGATCCTGTTGATAGCCCTCAACTATACGGTTTTCAAACCTCTACTCATAGGATTTTTTATCCATTTTGTTTTAAAAAATAATATATGATATGAAACTGCTTACACTTTTAGTAATGCGTTAATGGAAAAGTACTGTTTTTAAAATTCTCCGTCCATTGCTTCCCCATAAGAACTATCTGAAAATTGGATAACTAACTAAACATTGTTGTGATTATTTTCTTTAATCGTAAAATGTTTGAAAGCATGTATTACGGGTTGTTGGAAATGCTACTTTTACACAGCAAACAAAGAACGAGCTTGGTTAGACGACACTGTTCCAAAAAATAACTGTTTCGTTGTTTTTGTCTCCACAAATGAGGAAAAACAGCACAGTGCTGTGCATAGCGAGATATTTTGCAGACACAACTGAATTTAACCTGGGGCACGCGTTGATGGACAATGTGCAAGCTCTCCGACATTCACATTAGTTATCTGCCATCATGCCTAAGCTACCGCGAACAGAAGAAAGCACAAGCTGGTAGAGTTGGATGATGATAATGCCTACAAAAGTCGGCTTGAAGTACGAGTTGATTGGAATTCCCACCATCTGAATGCCTTTGTTTATCTGTGGAATAGCATTACCGACAAAGACAACGGCTATTGAGATGGCTAGTTCTGCCTTCCTAGTCGTCGTCAGCCAGTCACACCTAACTACAAAGTGTAAAATACCTGGTGTTCGATCCGCGAGCTGTTAGCTAACAGTTCGACACCTCTAATTACTAAGCCATGGACTGGTTGCCCTTTAACCCACAACCATTCTATATTTACATATTTTTTGACAATTTGAAATTCTGCGTGATTTTAGTTCTGTCTTACAGGATACCGATTGGTCACATATACTGGAGGCTGTGAATGCCGTTCGAATTCATAGGCTTATTTTAGTTCCATGAGAGTCAGTGTCAGTCGGCGACTCTGCAAGTGCGTACGCCTGTCGATGTATACTTCAAAATGAGCCTACAAACCAAATTGCTGGTGGAGGCAGAAGCTTCTCATCCAACTGTCTGCCTTCTAGTTGGACTCAAATCCACTTTTTGACAGAAAAATTCACCAACTACTAATAACTTTCAACTTGACTCACTAAACGACTACTGAGAATATTTTTTGCATTAGTCGTTTAAAGAAGTGTATATATATGCGTGGGCAATTATTGATTGGTTTTTGCGAAGCATATTCTGAAGGAACTTGTGGAAAAATGAAAACTGCATCCTCTTCTTTATGGCAGAAACTTTTTGGAAGCTGTCTGCTACCTTCTCGCATCTAGTTGGGTTCGTAAGGCACAGAGATCGGAGACAACCATCAGGCGTCAATAATGAGACCGAAAGACCTGCTGTCATAGAAGGAAACATTTGCATTTGTTTATCGGCTCTAGTGCACTTGCGAAAAAACGCAAATACGTCGGAGAAACCGCAAGACTGTGCCAAATGCGAATGGTCAAACATGTTGCCGTTGTGCAGGACAATGACTCCAGCTCTCAAGCTGCGGCTTATTCTTAGCAGTGCGGCCAAACATTCAAATTCGACAAGGCCAAAATTCTTGCTGGATATGACAACCACTTGAGTTGAGAGCTGCTTGATGTGGTTGACTGCACCCCAGTCGATTAACAAGTGCGACGAACTTCCCCTTCCATACTCGGTGCCGAGACCTCGCCTAGGCGTAGTAATTAGCCACGCGGGAAGCGCACGCGTTCCCACACTGTTCCCATTGTCAGGGTCGGTGGGTCAGATGGTTGAGCAATCATCACACAAATATCCAACACACCTGATGCAAGTTCAGCAATTACCGACGCGAATGTCAGCCACCAATCCGTATTCACACCAATTGAAACGATCCCTGATGAGGAGATAGTCGTGAATATTCATGCGCATTAGGTAGCATGAACACTGCGTCCTATAAATACTGCGGCCCGTTGTGCATGGATCCCTCGTATTTGTTATTGTCCATGATCAGGTGTTCGAGCAGGAATCCGAAAGGCCACGCTTATAAAACTCTTGGCTCAACGATTGTGGCTCCTTCTGTACGGCCCCAAACTGTCCAAATTGCAACCGAGTATCCCCTTTTAATGTCGACCTGGTCGGTCACTTGCGAATTTTTCGCATGGAAACTGAGATCCAGTTGCAGTCACTAGCCGATTCCGCCTTCACTGGCCTCATTTCTTCCACAATTTTTACAATCTCATGCGACAGCGGGTTCCTCGTCTTTGCCCATTACCAGGACCCACGTCCACTTATGACTGATCCCTGCCCTAACCACGCGTCAATGACCAAAAATACAGCAATAGACAGTCCAAATGATCCACTACTCATTATCTCCCTAGCAGAGGGTACCATAGTTTTTTTCCCGTTTACTCCTTCCCCCATTCTCTCCCACGCGAAAATCTACCATGGCATTGATACCATCATCCCCTAACAAGCCATCTTGTTAACTGTGAGAACCCAACTTTGCCCCTTGTTTTCATTTCGACTGAAGACGGATTGGTGTCACTAACTTGCAATTTTACCACTGCAACTCGTCATTTTCCATTTTGCATTATATCAACTTGGAATCCATATCTAATCTGATCTTTAGCATGTGCATGTGTACGGAATAATGAGAAAGCACAACGAGTCCTTTGAAGAATTTAACGAAACGTATTTTGTAAGTCTTCGCCGTCGATTTCCCACGTCCTTGTCAGACATATGTAGTGTAAAATGTAAAACTTTCATAAAAATCGATATTGCCTTAACATTAATGAGGACGAGTCGATTTGTGGATTGACGTCACGTTTTATTTGGTTATTGTCATTTCTGACTTTGTGACGTAGGAGTCGACTCCTTCCATTCAATGGGTGTCCAGGTAGGCGTGTATATATGTGCACATGCATATGCTATGTTTTGGACCATAAAATGCAAGCCGCTTCTGGTATATATTACGCTGAGCCTCATGTAGCACATATTTTCACATCTAAAATTTATCTATAATCCTGGAATTCTTGGTTCTGAAAACAAATTCTAACCCAAATAGCGTCAAATAAAAGTTAACTCAAACATCACCTAGATGCTAAATTTTTAGCCTTCAGTGGACGTTTGGATTTGAAGTTTATTACCACTGTCTGGCCTAGAGTCTAGCAATAAGGGTGCTCGCCACCGTAATAGTTAGCACATCTTTTCATATAAAAGAGTTGACTTACAAAAAGGCAGACACGCGACCGCAGTAAGCATGTCTTTCAAAGCGGTTTTCTTGCTACTGGGACTATTTCACCTTTTACATCGCAACTACGGCTGCAAATATCAAAATGGAAAGCGTATGTCTGACAAGCAATTAAGTACCTTTTAATATAAGGATCTAAATTTAATTGCACACTCTTAGAATACTTAGTGATTTTCAAGCCACTGGCATCCCCTTTGGGATTTGTTTATAAATT